TTCTTGGATTCTTGATGTAAGCATGTAAGTTTTGTTTTCTGGAGGCTTTCTGGAGGCATCGTAGAACGATGGGATTGCGTTGCCCACACCCAGACTACCCCAGCAACCGGGATCATGGCCGTTCAGGGTCCTGCAGCTCTCTAGGGAGCGAAGACAAAGATTGACGGATGTGAGCTATCGAACGATCGAAACGGCTTCTATTTTTCCCCGTCGATCGCGCGATTCTTGTTGCTTTTTTTCCTTCCCTTCCTCCCATTCTCTTCCTTGGCTTTTTGCATGGTGGTGTGTATGCTCTTTCTCTCTCTCACTCACATACTCCACTCACCGCACCAACACAGTTTTCTCCTGATCTTTGCCTTTTCTTTTTTTTCCTTCTTTATTTGCTTCGTCTCCTTGGTTCTCTGGAAACATAGCAACGGAGACGGGCAGTGCGGAATAAAAACCGTTGTCTGTGTAACCTTTTCCGCTCTTGTTTTTGTTTTCGACCAGTTGCAGGACCCGCTGTACGCCTTGCCTTGGTTTCCCTGTCGTCGTCTCATCTGATCTCGCATGCGCCACCCCTTGCATCTGCTTTTCCTTTTTTTTCCTTCGTTCTTCTCAGGGTACTCTTGCGGCTGTTGCTTGGCGTGGCACCATCTCGATACCCCTCTCGTGCTTTCTTCTCCATCACAAGACCATTCTGTTGCGTGATGATGAGCTCCGTTGCTGTAAAAAAAAAAGCCAAAGATATATCGTCTAAAGTTGCCTTTTCCCCCATGACAAACGAACGCAATCCCAGCTCCCCAAAAGGACCCTAAAAATAAAATAAAATCATCGTGATGACCAAGACCGACATCAGGAGACCAGCCAAAGGGAAGTGGGGGAGGGGTTGGGGGGAGAAACGGAAAAAGAAAGCAAAAAATAAAAAAAGCGACTACTCACATACCACAAACCCCCCCGACCCCGACCCCGACCCCGACCTCGACCCCGTACCCGTACCCGTACCCGTTACCAAAGCATCAAACCTCATCCCCCATCTCCCGAACATTAACGGACCGCACGTATACATACACACATCCATTCGGGTTTCGGCTCCGCACTTACCCGCCGGGATTACGTACCATTACCGTACCTCTAGTTCCTGTCTCGTATGGCATGTACATACGTACATACATATACGTACTCGCACTGGGGTGTGGGTTGCCTGCCTGCCTGCCTTTTCGTAGCGGGGTGTGAAGTGGGGATCAATCGGGTGTGGGTTGTTGCGGAGATGGTGGTGGGGGGGGTTCGCCCATCTTGTTTTCTTTTTTTTTTTTTGTTGCTTGACCCTGGATCACGCTATCGACTCTCCTACCCCTCTCTATGTGTAGGTAGGTAGTCCTTTTCTATCCAACTAACATCCCTTGCATTGCGGATGCCCTCACTCGCTTCCTCCCACCGCCGCCGGACCTCTGCTGCTAGCGCTGTTGTTGCATTGACGCAGGTCGCGCTGCGAAGGGGAAAGGTACATGTGTATGTATGTACATATATGCGCAGGGCGCTTGCGTCGCGGCGTGGCTGCGGGGCCCTTGGGTAGTGTGGGGGAGGGGGGGTCGCGGGCGGGCATGGTGTTGTATGTAACCGTAGGTCGTTGTGTATGTATGTATGCGGCTGGGTGGTCGATTGATGGTGTGGGGGGACCGGGGTGGTGAAGTTCTTGGAGTATGTATCCGCAAGTAGCGAGTCTTCTTCTCTTTTTTTTTCTTTCTTTCTCTTTTTTCTTTCTTTTTTTTTTCGTCTTTCCCCCCTCCATCCCTCTTCACCGGTCGTTGTGCGAGATGCTGTATGCAGCCGTCCACGACGTTGTGTAGCGACTGGAAACCCGTCTGGGGGGAGGACCACTCGGTGGGGAATGGGCGGGCAGCCTAGGTTGTCCGTCGTCTATGTAACCACGGCCAGCGGGCAAAGAAGAACATGGCCAGATCTTTCTGGAACCCTTTGTTTTTTTCCTTGTGAGAAATTCGACTGTCTGCGCTTACCGTGTAAGCACTTGAAGATTACTACGTCTGGATGTTCTTGTTGCTAATTTTAGAAGTCTACGTCTCCCCCTCTCAGGTTTTCTCTTCAATTGCTCAGGCAGGATTGGTAGTGTCGCTGGGGAGCCTTTCCTTGGTAGGCACCGCAATAGTCTGTGCATTGATCTGCCTGCCTGACAGTCAATGAGTTCTCTGCTCAAGGGACGTTTCTTTTTCCTTTTTTTTTCTTTCCTTTTCTTCTCCAACGTTCACATGTGAACTAATGGTTTGCGGCCAGACCCCTCGGGTCCGCTTCACGGAAAGTCAACGCCCGGGCTGATCAGACGACCGTAGGAGACGTCGGCGATGGGATGGCGTGATGGACTCTGAAGTCACAGTGACGAAAAGTGCATGGCTGACAGGGCGCTCGACGATTGGGCACGTAGTCGCTGCTCATTTTCGTTTTTCCGTCTTTCTGGGATTGCAAACGCCAAGCCGACGAGGGGGGGATGATGGTGATCCGCAAGGCATTTTACGGGTCAGTGGAGCGAGAGCTCGCGTGCGGCTGCGAGTCTAGTCGTAGATGGCATCGGCGATGCAGAAATGCTTTTCTAGTGCGGCTGCGGAAAGCGACGATGGGCTTTTCCAATGCTCGTCTCCGGCATTTCAGCCGATGTCGATCATCGCGAGCAACGGCCGTAGGTAGGCCAGTGGTGCACGAGCTTGCGCGGCCAAATGTGCGCGCAGCGCGTTTGCTATATGGGTGTTAGCCTTGTCTACACACTCCTTTCTTCAGGGTCTCATTGGTTGAGGGTTTGGGATTGCATCGACCTCACGGTGTTGTCATCTGCGGCTGGCAGATGCCGATGCCGGACCCTGTTGCCCACATGAACATAGACTTGCCGATCAGCTTGCAGCAATACGGAATAGCTTCCCGAGAGTGTGCGGAGTCTTTATTGAATGCCCGCTATTGCCATGTTACCCATCAACCACGACCAGGAGGCATATCCTGTGACGTCGCAGTCGCAGTCAAGACCACCCACAGGTCGACGCTCAACAAAAGGTCGTCATTATGTGCTAAGTATCCGTACATTGGGTACTCGTAAAACGCTTCGACCAGGACGATCGTCCCGAATCAATGAACAGGTCGGCTATTCAGCCTGTCTCCAACATCGGAACGCCCCTGTACACGATCTACGTTCTGGAAGGACTGGTACACTGGCCTTTATTTCAATGCCCGTCACTTGTTTTCGTCTTTGCTTCACTGCATGCACGGCAAGCGCCGTGAGGTCGCTAATTCCGTAAAGTGGCCCGCAGCGCGCTTCTTCCTTGAGTTTCGATGGTGTGCCTTTGATGACAGGATGACAATCATGTCCTCAATGCGCTTACAATGCTCTCATCTACATCCGGATATCTGCTCAGCTACTCACAAAAAAATGACGTTTAAACATGATTGCTTAAACTGCTCGCACAAAGGATCGACGTAGGCCAAATTCTTTTGTCGCCTACCGTGATAGCTCGGTGCGTGATAGTATCGCACCAGGCTGTGTGCAAATTATTAGGAACCGCACATTCATCGCCTAAATTACATGACAAGAGTTCGACTACAGATAGACTGCCTTCAAAGTTTTACGCCTAACCCATAATTCTTGTAAATAAGTTCCTACGACTGTACTAATGTGCACACAGCTCAGGCCATAATGAGAATCAGGAACTAACAATGATGATGGAGATCATCTTCAAATGTTATAAATACTGTCTGTCCTTCTGGATATGATGTATCCGTATCCCCCTCACTCAACTACAGAGAAATGGTAAATGAGAGTGGTTCAGTTCGGTGTTTGTCTGCTGAAAATTTTCGGCTCCTGCAAGATTGTGTTTACGAGGAATCAGGGTTTGATTCTCACTCAAGGCTACGCTTTTTGTACCGCAGCACTTTCCAGCGGCAAAGAGCCAGCCACATGACAACGATATGGTTTACATGACAAGACGTAACTTCGTTGAAGCGCACTGCTGACCTTCCACAACTACCCCAACAATACGCCACGAGTGCGTGCCCTTAGCATTTCCCGGTAGCATCACGCGCGGCATGCCGCTGTCAACGAATGGATCCGGCGCCTGCTCGGCTGCCACGACTTCCTTGCTCTACGAAGTAAGCTTTCAAACCCCCCGCCGCTCCTCCCACGACGGCTTCTTCAGTTGCACAGCGGCTGGTATCTCTAAAGCGTAGATCCATATCACGTAGAATCACTTCGCCGTTTTAGTTCTTGTAGCAAAGGATCTTGCCGTTTCCACTTCCCTGCTTCCTTGATATCTCTACGCCGTGGTTCAGACCCGGACCAGTCAGTGATGGACTGGCCTTCGCAATGGTGCGCAGCACCAAAATCATATGATGAGAAACAGCGTAATTCTTCGGTAAGGAGAATTAGCATTGAAGTTGAAAAATTGTCGAGAGGTTAGGGTCGTCCGCCCACATACTTAAATGGTGCGATGAGTATGAGTAGAGTGATCTGAAAGAATAGGATAATAGTTCAAGTCTCGTCTGACCATGTGAAAGTCTAATACAATGGAGGCGATGCTGTTTAGAGGAGAACTGCACTCTCTGACGGTTTCCTCTTATGTAGCTGAAAGCCAGCTGCACCCTACCACGGATTTATCACCTGACAAGCAGCTCTGAAGTGCAAAGTCAGCTCCCGACAAGTCATATAAATCTCATAACTCGCAAAGGTCTTGAAAATTGAGTAGCATCGTCCAACATTTTCGTCTATCGTACAGGAGCATCACATATCTATAATTCTATCGTCGACCAGAGCAGGGAGAAGGCCCAATATCCACAGTTCCTTTTTGTTTTCCCCACCACCCAAATGCCCTCGCCCACTCCCAGAAAAAAAAACAACCAGAGAAGAGGCAAAAAAAAAAACTTACAGACCCGCCAGGTTCCTTCAAACACCCAACAGCCAGAGCCAAAGGACAAAGACCCCCTAATAACGAGCCGTCGTTCCCTCTCTTCAGCAACAGCACACCTACTTACTCCTCGTCCCCCTTATCCTGCCCCAGCACGCCCTCCACACCATTGTTGATCCTCTTCACTCTCGCCTTCTCGGCCTCGCTCAAGACGAACCGCCTCATCCTGCCGGCGATCCGCGGATCGACGACCAGCTCATCGCACCAGACGCTCTCCTTGCCCTCCTCCTCCTTCTTCTTCGCCGCCTCCTTCCTCACGCTCTTGTGCCACTCCTTCTCCTCTCCCTTCAGCACGCGCTGCTGCTCCCACCGCTCATCACCGTCCACCTCGCCGACAGGCGCGACGCGCTCCTCGGCGAACTCGGTCTCGGGGGGAGCGCCGCCGTACGGCCGGTGGGCGGCGAGCACGGCGGCGGCGACCTGGGCGCCGATCTCGTCGGCGAGGGCGCGGCGGTTGAGGAAGCGCCACATGCGGAGGGGGGTGTTGAGGAAGCCGAGGATGTGCGGGTAGGGGATGGGCGCCGAGGGGGCGAGCTGGGGCGGGCAGTTGGGGGAGAGGGCGGCCGAGGCGTAGTCGGTGGGCGAGTTGTAGGGAGGGGGCTGGGCGCGCTTCTTCTTCTTCTTTTCCTCTTCTTCCTCCTTTTGCCGCTCTTCTTCGGTCTTTTGGTGCTCCTCTGCTGCTGGCTTCTGCTTCTGCTGCTGCTGCTGCTGCTGCTGCTGCTCCTCCTCGGACGACGGCGTCTGCTGCTGCTGTGCGGACGGCGAGGCGTCGTCCAGAGCTGCAGGGGGGATTCCGTCCTGGGCAGCAGGCGGCAGTGGCGACGGCGACGGCGGCGGCGGCGGGTCCAGAGGTCCCAGCCAGCCCTCGTGCAGGCCACGCACGTACTCCTTCCATGTGTTCCTGCCGATGACGATATCGCCCTGCACGCCCTGCCACTCCTTCACCCCCACCCGCGCCCTCGCGTTCAACACCACGCTCTCCGTATCCTCGTCCTCTTCTTCGGGCGCCGCGCTCGCCTCGCCCCCCGCCTTCCTCAGCCGCCGCACCTTCTCCGCCGTCTGCGCGCGCACGTCGCCCTCCCTCCGGCCCTCGACGGCCTCCCAGTCCATGGCCGCGGCGACCAGGATCGGCTTGACGTACTCGATGAAGTGCTCGCGGGCGCCCATGAGGCCGTCGGCGGGCGGGCCGGCCAGGTAGACGGTCATGCGGCGCTGCATCTCGTTGGTGGCGAGCGGCTCGCGGGCCAGGTGGGCGACGGCGTCGCAGTAGTCTTGCTGGATGCGCTTCTTCTGCCGCCGGTCGTACCACAGCGCCGCGGTCCACGAGCCCGTGACGGTCAGGAAGATGATCCAGTTGCGCGAGGGCAGCTTGAAGCGGAAGTTGGGCATGCCTGTTGTTGGCGGACTCGCGGCCATTTGTCAGTGGCTACGTGCTTTTGCATTCTGGGGAAAGATGTCGTGTGGGATTGGGAGGGAGCAAAAACGGTCATGGTGGTGGATGCGACGAACCCATCATTTTGAAGACCGGGTTGGGTTGCGAGGCGCCGGCTTTTGCGCCAGCGTCGGCGGCAGCTTTGGCGGCGCCTTGGGATGCGGGACTGGGGTCGGCCATGGCGACGGCGACGGCGGCGGCGTCTCGAGGTGTTGTGGTGGAAAGTGAGAGCGATGGTCGGAGCTCTGGAGAAAGAATGAGGGCTGCCAAAAATTCGAGGTCCCCGTCGGCGATTGCCAAACGCCGACATCTGGGGGAAGCCAGAGCATTATTTCGTCACCCCCGGGCCACTCTCTACAACTTTCAACGCTCTCACTCTCCGCATCTCCGCGACCTAGGTCCACACGGAAATCCCTCCCTCCCTCCTCCGCCATCGACCATCCAATCGTCCCCGCCCTCGACCCCGACCCAGACCCCGACCTCGACCTCGAACAAACCTCAAAGCCACTCACTCACCCACTCACATCCACCTTCCCCACAAAAAAACCGTCCTGCCCAAACCTCCTCCGCAACAAAAAATAAAAACAAAACACTCGTACACACAGCATCAGCCACCATGGCCGAATACTGGAAATCCACACCAAAATACTGGTGCAAATTCTGCCAAGTCTTCGTGCGCGACACCAAGATCGAGCGCCAAAACCACGACGCAACCGGGCGCCACCAATCCGCCATCCAACGCTCCCTCCGCGACATCCACCGCACGCGCGAGCGCGAAGACCGCGAGAAACAGCGCGCCAAGGACGAGGTCGCGCGCCTGAACGGACTCACCGGCGCCGGCGCCGGCGGCGCCTCGTCCTCGTCCTCGGCCTCAGCAACGACAGCGACAAGGGCAGGGAAGGCGGCACAACCACAACCATCGGCGAGAGCGGCGCCGAGCCAGCAAGCCACGGCTGAGGAACGCAAGCGCCAGCTCAAGCAGCTCGCCGACATGGGCGTCGCCGTGCCCGACGCGTTCCGCGGCGAGATGGCGCTGGCGGGCGAGTGGCAGACGGTGGCCGTCACGCCGGTCGACGGCGACGCGGCGTCGTCGTCTGAATACAGAGACGCGAATCGCGGCGCGGGTGGCGCGTTGCTGAATGTCGGGGTGAGGAAGCGGAAGGCGGAGGATGGAGAAGAAGAGGAGGAGGAGGAGGCGGAGGCGCTGCGCGCGTTGTCGAGGGGGGAGAAGAAGCCGGCGAGGAAGGCGGGGTGGGGGAATAGCTTTAAGGCGTTTCCGGGGGCGAAGGGGGGCGATCCGGGGGATGATATTGAGGCGTTGCTGGGCGGGGCGAAGAAGGTGAAGACGGAGGTGAAGGCGGAGGAGGGGGAGGGGGAGGCTGCTGGGGAGTCTGGGGTCAAGAAGGAAGAGGAGCAGGAGGAGGATGGTGATGGTATCAAGAAGGAGGCGCGGGGTGATGGGGAGGGTGGCGAGGCCGATCCGGTCGGGGCGGAGCCGAAGCTCGCGGATATACCGCCAGTGAAGGCGGAGGACGACGAGGGGGAGAAGGAGGGTGCAGGTGCGGCCGCTGGCGGCGTGGTGTTCAAGAAAAGGAAGGGCAAGGCTATGCGTCAGAAGTGAGGGTTGCTAGACGCAGAGCTCCCTCCTTTCGTTACAGAGACGACCTCGCTCGTCGGCCCTTCGCAAGCGCTGGTTGTGGTCGACCAGCTCAATCTCCAGCATTTTGAACGGCAGCCAGTACATATACAGCCCGTGGCTCCCTGCTTATCACATCGTCTGCAGGATTAACCGGAAGGCCGTGTTCTTTGATCACTACGGCGCTACTTGATGGCGCAACTGTCGATTCTCTTGGGATGTCAGAGATGCAAGAGGTGTACGGCGGCACCTGCAGGATGCCAGTGGATGTCATCATGCCAATGTTCCTGCCGCAAGCTCCTGAATCGAGAGCGGATTGGACCCATAGAGATTACTGCTGGTATCTCTTGACTGGTAAATGCTACATTCAATCTATAGAGCATTAGGCAGTAGCGTGGTGTAATAGCTTGACAGACTCGTTGTTTAGAGATAGAGCTGTGAATTTTTAGCCATCCTTCGAGCTACATTGCAAAGTGGGATTCTTTGATCGAAGGAAGTTCTTATGCGCCGTACTCTAATATCAACATACGCCGTTCTCAAACTGCAATTGATCGCCCAAAATGTAGAAAGGGCAATACCACTAGGAGAGATCATTGCGATTACTGTATAACAGAATTGCCTAAACCCCACTTATACCAAAGACATGTTAGTGTAGAAGTAATCGAGCCTGAATCCACACACCCATAATCGTGTAGCTCACTAAGTAGAGTCTGTAGAACTCCACCCATAACCGAGAACACAATCACCCAAGTAAATTTATGCCTAATCCGAGGGTCATCGGACGCCGCCCAACTGTCAAGGGATCGGCTTTTTCGGAGCTCTAGATATTATACGGATGGGCAAGTACCGGTATAGTTGCAGCAAACAACCCAACAATTCCGCTCAACAGCCTCGATCTCCTTTAGTTCCAAGACAGGGTGCTCACACAGGGTACGGAAATTTATGGAGAAGTCCCAACCGTGTTTTAAGGCATATATTTTCCCATTAAGATCCTCCCCATCCATGCTTATATCTACTGGCGCACCAGCATACAACCCGAGCACCTAAACTAAAACCGTAGAGTACCGAAATCCCAGACGAGAAACAAGCCAACAATGCCCCTAAAGTGACGGAACTACTGTACTCGTTCACTCAGCTCAGTCGCCCTCCAAAGGCGCTGATCATTGATCTCTTCGTCCAACTTCCCAGACCCACCGAACCCCTTCCACGTTTCATCCCTCTTCGCTCTGAAACTTTTAGCACACGTCAACAAACTATAGCAGCCATCTTCGCTCTTCCGCCAAGCTACATCCAAAACAGGTCCCAGTAGCAGGACTTTCCCCTTACCCTTCCCCTTCCCCTTCCCCCGCCCGCTTCTGCTGAATCACCATCAGCAGGCGAGGGCCGAGAAAAGAAAAAGAAAAAAAACCCAAGAAAAGGACGGAGAGGAAAGACACGCTCGACAAGACACAAAGAGAGGGAGAGAGGGGGAGAGAGAGAGACAACAAACACACATTGACAATCACCACCACAATTCACTACGCGGCGGCCACCAGCCAGCACCTGATCCACCTCCACGCATAGACACCTTTACTATGATCCATGCACACATACAAAACACGCATATGCAACACAGTGTCACAGACTCAGCACGGAAAAAGTAAAAAGAAGGGGAAGGCGATACCGCCACACTCGCGCTCGCAGTCGCACTCACTCACTCACAAAGTATAGTAGCAACAAAGGACACTTTACTTCACTACGAAGACGAAGGAGAAGGAGAAGCAATGCTAGTTAGTTTAGTCTCTAAAATACAATTCAACGACCTTGCAGCAGCATCAGCAGCATCAGCAGCATCAGCAGCAGCAGCGAAACCAAAGTCAATCAAGAAAAAACACATAAGTGGAACGAAAAGAAAAAAGGGCGACAATATATTTCTTTTCCTTACACGGTCTACTTCTTTTAGCTATTTCTTCTTTTCTCACAACATCAAGCGAGGCAAGCAAGCAAGCCACTTTTCCCTCTTCTTTTTTTTTTTCTTGATTTATGTTTTGCATCATCATTTTCACACACACCTCTTTCCCTCTCCCCCCCACCCACATAGGTCGTCGTCGTCGTCGTCGTCGTAACATTTGTTTGCACAACACGCCTATCGAGAGAGGGGGGAGAGCAAAAAGACACACACAAAAAACAAGAAGCATGTCTTCAAAAGGGTAGCTTTTTTATGTTGACAAAAAAAAGCAGAACCATTGCCATCAAAAAGAAAAATCGTAGTTAAACTAGACCCATTTCATGACTTTAGTGCACATTTCAGGACTTTCGGAGGAAGAAGCCAAAACCAGAAGACAGAATCGTGAAAAAGCCGTGGGGAAATAAAGAAGTCGAAACTAAAGAGGTGGAAGGGGGGCGCGAACTAAAAAAAAAAAAAGGTTCTAAAGGGAGTTAAGTCGGTTCCGAGGAGTGTTTGTGATTGAGAAGTAGCCGAAAAGAAGCGTGTAACCAGCCCGCAGGAGAGAGAAGAAAGGTGACAAGATAGTTTGGATCGGTCGTTAATGGCATAGCGAAAGGAAGAAGCACTAGCTCCTCCCCGCCGCCCCATTTTTTGGCTGTCAATTTCCTGAAAACCTGCTTCTCTTTGTCGTCCTCTTGCCCACGCAGAAAATCAAGACAAGCTGAAAGCAGAACATCTGGAGAAAGCGAATTGGCCAGAATGACTGGATTCCTGATTCGTCATGAAGAAACCGAGGCACTCCAACCGATTTGCACGTGCTAGACAACAAACTCCAAGATATTGCTCCACCGGGTGTATGCTCGAGAGAGGTAGGCGAGCTAAGGGAAAGGATTGCGGGGGTTACATCGTTCATTTGGGGGAGAATCGCTCGTCCGCTTAGTTGTGGCCCGCCTTGCGGAGCGAGTTGCTCAGCCACTCCAGACCCTCGTAGAGACCGTCACCGGAGGTGGCGCAGGTGGATTGGATGTACTGCATGCATCGTCAGCCTTTGTCTGCTCGTGTCGCGTGTCCTTTGACAAATCTGGCGCGACTTACCCAAGCGCGTTGCCTGAGGCTGTGGAGGCCAAGCTTGTCGGTGATTTCAGCGGCGTTCATGGCGTTCTGTAGAGCAGCGTCAGCAGAGGTTCAGCCGTCGGTGTGGTTAGCGGGGCAACATACGGGCAGATCCTGCTTGTTGGCGAAGACGAGGAGCAGAGCATCCCTCAGCTCGTCCTCGTTGAGCATGCGCTGCAGCTCCTCGCGGGCCTCCACGACACGGTCACGATCGTTGCTGTCGACGACGAAGATGATGCCCTGGGTGTTCTGGAAGTAATGCCTCCACAGGGGGCGGATCTTGTCCTGTCCACCGACATCCCACACGGTGAACTGGATGTTCTTGTACTCGACGGTCTCGACGTTGAAGCCTGGAGGGCAGCCAATGGGTCAGCGAGCGGTGCAGCGTGGGGGCGCAGGCGAAACTCACCGATGGTGGGGATGGTGGTGACGATTTCACCGAGCTTGAGCTTGTACAGAATGGTGGTCTTTCCTGCAGCGTCGAGACCGACCATCAGGATACGCATCTCCTTCTTGCCCCATAGCTTGTCGAACAGCTTCGAGAATGTGAGACCCATGGTTGCGACGATGTGCTGAGAGGTGGGTGTCTAAGGGGGCTGCAGAAACAAGCGGTGTATGCGAGCCGGGACCTGTGGCAGGGCATTCGGGTCAGCAGGCGGCTCGCGAGGCGATGGCAGTCTCGTGAGCTCGTGATGGGGGACGCGGGCGATGACGGGCGGCCGCAACGTCGAGCGATCGGGCTGGACGGCGGGCGGCGGCGGGTCGGGAGAGCATGCGGCAGGGAGAAAGCAGAGGGCCAGGCACGGTGAAGGCGGGGCGCAGAGGAGAGCAGCAGCATGCGCCAGCTTGGGACGTACCTTGGGGGGGTGGGCTCTGGGGGAGTTGGGTGGTGTGTTGCGGAGAGAGTCTGGGTGTATGGGGCGTATCGCAGCGATAGATGTCGTTGAAATGTCCACGGTGTTTCCTGTCGCTGGGCGCTCGCACGGGCCGCACCTTTCCCAATTCAGGTGGGGCGGCGAAATCCTCTCCACAGGCGGGCTCGAGGTGTCTGGATGCTGACGCGCGTGACTGCTGCAACGCTGGAGATCGCACGCTGGGACTGCTGCTGCCGGCCTCGAGCTGCACCGCAACTGCTCGCCTTTAAGTGCGTGGTTGCCTGTTGGCCTGCTGCGAGCTAGCCCGCAGCCACTGCCGTCCTGCCACGGTTTCCTCTTCCTGCTGCTCGCGCCTGGCAAGGCAGGCAGCAATGAAAAGGAGATCGCTGTCATTACAACATAGGGCTGACCGCCGCCGCCGCACGCTGCGCTCCAGCCGCCTCCCACGACGGCTTCAATTGCCCGCGCCACGCCAGCGAGAGAGCCGGCTGCGCCCGTCTGCAGCGCGGCACTGCGCGGCACTGCGCGCCACTGCGCGGTGGCAGCTCGATGCAGCCGCTCACGGCATGCAGCAGCTCCATGCTTCCTTCTACAGGCCCAGTGGAGATGGTCAGAGTCATGCTATAGTACAATTGCCCCGGTGGGCTGGATGATGCCTGCGCCGTCCTTCCTTCCCGATGAATAATGCGCCGAAGATCGCCTTAGTCCCTGATCTAGCAGAAAATGAGATGTGGCTCCAAGGTGATGCAAAGAAGCCTGCGAACCCCACGCCAGCGCGTCGCAGTAGAACCAATGGCACTGCCACGATTATCTCTGCCTGGTTCGTTGTTCATTTAACCTGTTACCGAACGCATCCGTGCCGTGGCCCGGGCCAAAGCCCTCCCAGCCACCGCTGTCAAGCATCTGAGTCCATGCGCTTTCAGGCAGAGGCGTCAATCCCGTCATGCCAGCCCCGCCACTCATGTCCCACTCGGCCACCCCCGACGTTGTTGTGTAGAAGAGCTGGTCAAACTCATCGCCTGCCGTGGTGAAGTTGAAGTTGTCGTTGGCTGCATTCGACACACTGTCGCCCATGGCTGACGCCACATAGTTCTGCGCCGCCTGAGACTTCCTCTGCCCATCAGATGTCGCCGAATATGAAGAACGGGAAGATGCAGCGTGTTGCGAATTCCCGGATCCCGACGGCGACGGATTCTCGCCGCCGGCGTCAGGCGACAGGTCCATGTCCGATGCATCCCTATCCGCCCGCCCAAAGCTTCTCGAGTACTGCGCTTGCATTTCTCGCGGTGTGAATGCATTGGGCGTCCTTTGTCTGCTTGGGAGTTCGAAGATGTGCCGGTCTTTCGGCGAGTACGTGAAGGGCATTGATTCCGTGTCCATGTTGACCTGTTGTGCAATATTGAATGGTGGACCAGGCTGAGGCTCTGTGCCAGTTGAGTTGGAAAGATGGCTCTTGAATGGCATATCGCGCGAAGGCTCCGAGCTTGTCGGGTTGGAAGGATGGCTCCTCTGGTCTGTGGCATCGCTGCTTCTATGGAACGTGTTCACCGCCGCACCATCCGACTGCGATTCCCTCAGTTCAAACAGAGGGGCGCACGAAACGCTGTCGGTGTTCACCGGAACCGTTGCCTAAATCGTATCGTCAGCGGTAGCGCCGAACTAAGAGCACAAGCATGGCTTACAGGAGCATTGGGTTCGTGACAACTCGTATTCAGACTCGATGAGCCCCCGAACGGAGCAACGATCCCAGATCCTACGAGATCCAGATCAAGCTGAGCGAGGAACGACTCGGTCAACTGATTCCTCTTCTTCAGCGCCTGCATAGCTTGGAGGAGGAACTGGAGGTGGTTGTTCATTTGCCCGTCCCCAGGGCGATTTTTCAGATACTGCACAAAGACTCGCGCTGCAACGTAGACGCAGAAAGAAATGAAGGGATTCATCTAAGCAACATATCAGCACACCATTGTCTACGCCCGACTTAGGCTGACCTACCGTTGACGTGTCCATGTGAGCAATCAGTCTCATTACGCTTGCAATTTCCGACGCAGCCGTGACGCATCTGATCTTGCTTTCTTGGGCAATGTGGGCGGGCATCCTGTTTTTGTCTGCCTTGAAGATTGCCGCCTGATGCAAACATATGACCGAGGTGTGTATCTTCATGGTCATGAACACCACATTGGGATTGTTGATGCCTGCAGGGAGTCTCATATCTTCGGGCAGCGCCAAAGCCAAGTTCAGGAGCATGTTGTCCAGTCGGCGATGTCTCTCCCAGAATTCGCCATTGATATCGCTCTCACGTTCGTCGTTTGTCGGCCGGTGAAGATGGAGGAGGTTTCGTCCAAACATGGCTGCCATGACAGAGCAACCAGCATAGGGGGTCAATTTCGAGGCACCTCCCACCGCCAAGGCCTGTTCCAGCGATATCGACTTTTCGGGTCTGCTCTTCTCGAACGCTTCGTCGGTCGCAGGCAGATTGGTTAGAATCTACCAACCGTCAGCACATCAATCCGAACCGCACGTCCAGACTCCTTACATCTTGCTCGTCGATAGCCACTGGCCAGCCCGTGCCTATGCTCGCGTAGCGATCAACGTTGAAGCACATCCAAAACGTCCTCCTTCGCTCTTCCCTCTCGGTCCAATCCCTGGGCGGAGCCAAGCACTGCTTGACGTCCAGTCCGGAGCCGTCCATCTTGTGCAGATTCATCATTTGAGCCATTCTGACAGCTCGACCTGCGCTGATCCACGCTCTCGGAAAGTACATGGACTTGAACTCGTAGCTGCAAATGAGCGCCCAGGTCTGGCAGTGAGCGAGAGTAAGCATCGACTCTCCGTGGCCCTTCATCTCGTCCATTTGGATGTACTTGCGGGCACGATGGTAGAAATGCTCCTGCAAAGACGAGTATTTGTCAGAGGTCGAAGCGGCAAGCGTCCACATGATGTATCTCAAACAGATTGGAGGTCGCATGTGCGGAGCGAGGTTCATGGCGGCCATAAATCGGGGACGGTGTATCATTGGCACAACAAGATTGAATTTGTCGAAGTACATCTGCGTCCTACACAGCATAGGAGTGAGCACCAAGAAGTCACATGGGCGCAGAGGATGGAGCACGGGAGACTGACAGCTCGTTGACGATGTCTTGATTCGGCAGAGGTTCGTCCAAGCCCAGGCCGATCATTTCCCAAGAGAAGGGATCAGAGCTCGAGCTGTTGTCGGCGGAGCCGGCTGGCCTGGCGGAGGCCATGTCCCCGGGCGAGATGGCACCGGCGGCCTGGAAGACGTTGTCCATGACCTGAGCCATGTTGTCCATCACGATGTTCTGGCCTTGGAAATCAGAGGGGAAAGCATTTGAATTTGAATTTTGCTGCTGATTCGCCTCGGAGCCTTCCTGGGACTTGAGGAGCGTCTCGACTTGTTCTGTCGGCGGGCACTGTTCAGCAGCACGTCTACCTGGGGTCGCGCAGCAGCGGCGAACATACGCAGTCTAGCTTCCAGGGCCTTCACGTAACCTCTCTTGGGCCCGCTCTTCTTGCGCACCTCGTCGTAGGCGCAGTCATGGGCCAGTCTCTTGCAGGTGCCGCAGCTTGGGCGCTGGCCGTCACACTTCAACTTCCGCTTGCGACACAGTATACAGGCGATGCGCTTGGCCTTGGGCGGCAGGGCGTCGGGGTGGGAGGCGCCATCGCTGGCGCGGCGACCGGGCTGCTCAGCGGGGGCGTGTTGGGAGAGGTCGTTGAAGTCGAATCCTTCGTCGCCAGCGTCGGGGGCGGGCATGGCGGTGCCGGCTTACAGGCGCAACAGTCTGAGGCAGCTTGCTGGAGCGGGCGGCGGGCGGCGAGACGGGTCGAGGATGACTTCGCGAGGCGGCTTCACGGCGGGCGGAGGGTCTGTCTCTGCGCTTGGACATCAGCAGGAGTAGAGGTTTGTTTAGCAGTGTCCAGGCCTAGGCGGCAGCAAAGCAACGCGTCGAATAGATGTCACGAATGCGGTTAGGCGTAGGATTGCCGTTCAGGGCTATGGTTGCGACGCCGAATCAGCTGGCGGTCGGCGTTTGGGTCAGAGGCCCCCGCCCGCCCGCCGCCTTTTAGTCCTGGCCCGTTCGCCTCGCGCAGATCGTGCCGGAACTGGCCACCACTTCGACACTACTGCGGACGTACCAACAACTCCAACGTGCCGGCTGCCGCTCTCCTCGGCCACCTGCGCTACATGTCTAACCAATCGCTCAATCCTCGTGCATCCATCAGCCGGGCCACCGCAGGGACCATTTGCTGATTCAGGACATGTGCACTGCCAGCTCCGTCAGAGCAGGCCGTCTCGCAGCCACTCCGCGACTCCTCACCGCCACGGCCATGTGTTGGTAGACAGGGGAGGTATGCTGTACGTCTGACATGTGGCTGCCCGCGCGATGGTTGCGGCGAGTCACGCCTGCAACCACATGCCATGCCGTCAGCATCTACCTAGGAAGCCCGCCCCAACATGGTTTGCGCTAAAGGTTGGCACCATTCACTACTGCCAACGGCGCCCCTCCCGATTCGCTGGCGCTTTCATTATTATCACACTGCCTTCCTGCTCATCATCAACCACTACCATACCGTCCATGATGGCAATTCTGCACCACAATCACCACCATTGCGCTTGAAGGAGCCCTGATGATACGAGCATATCGTTTGCTGCCTGAACGAGCCGTCTCCTGATAAACTACCTACTCCGCAACGAACGTTCACCTTTTACCGCTACGGACAGGAGATGGAGGATTCCAGTACCACAGGACCACGACCAGGGACCCCATGATCCCCATCATCACCGCGAGTCATTTTGAGGAGCCTCCACTGTCAAGGTTGGGACCTCCAGCCTCAACCTCAAAGTCATCTAAATCCTTAGAACTGTACCTCCGATGCTCTTTGGTACGGCGTCTGTGCACCTGTCTTTGTACTTTCTCAGACCGCCCTCTTTGAGTCTTTTCATCACCTTCATGCCAGCTGGCCGAGTTTGCCGAGGGCTCTCTCGTCTTTTTCTTTGAATTAGTCAACGATGAGCTCGAGCTCCTAGATGCGGACCTCAAAACTCGAGTACTTGGTGTCGTAGTCTTGGAGGAGCGCGCCCTAGGGACTGGAGTGGCTGCTTGCTCTTGAACCTTCATGACAGCTTTGGTCTGGCCAAGTTCTTGTTCGAGATCGCTCTCTGGAACAGCCTGCCCGGAAGTCTGAGCTTTTGGACTGACAACCACATCTGTGGCATCCACGCTTGAGTGTGGCGGCGGTTTCTCTGAGGGACCATCGTCGTGCTCAATGTCCACCTCTTCTCCGCTATGCCTATTGCTACCAGTCGGCGTCTGGGACCCATCACGAGGCAATCCGTTTGATTTTTCCCTCGCGCGCCCTCGAGGAACGGGCCGGTCATGGCTTCCAGTCTCCCGCGACGATATCCAAGCTTTATCGACGTCCTCGGGATCCTTGAGCCATTCTACTAGCATCTTTTCGACGCGCTCTTTTTCAACCGCGTCCATCTCATCGATGGCGCGCCCAAAATACACCCTCTCTCTTTCCTCCTGCGTAGGCGGTCTGTCAACGTACGGTCCACTTGGCCCTGTACTTGATTGTCTAACTTGTCGCTCACTTGGCTCTTCATGCTGCCGCTGGTCTTTCTGCCAGTCTGATGACTCTTTTGACTCTTTTGACTCTTTTGACTCTTCTGACTCTTCTGACCGTTTTGGTCTTGGGGGTCTAAATGGATTCCACTCTTTCTCATAGTCCAACTCTTCTGGTGTTGGGTGTACAAGTGGATCCCACTCTGTCTCATAGTCCGACTCTTCTTCATCCGACCGCGCATAATCAGGTGGCTCCTGGTCGGGATCCATGGGCGTCTTTCCCTCTCTGATTCTCCTCCATTTTTCTTTCTCCGTCAGTGGTTCCTCCTCAGCATCGACCTGTACGGTTTCTGTTACCTCACCTTCCTCGTGCTCCTCCCTTGCGGCTTTCTCAGCATCAACCATCATCTGCTCTTCCAATGCCTTTTCCAAATCTTGGGCATCCATCGGCAACTCCCTTCTAATCACCTCTAGATATTCCCCTGCCTCGGCCCGCCGCCTTTCGTACGCCTCACGTGCGCTAGACTTGGCCTCCATAGGGTCCTCATCTTCTTTTCCCTCTATACTTTCGACCACACCTTCGACCGTCTCTTGAACTTCGTCCAAGTCAACAACCTCCTCATTCCCCTGGTATATGAGATCCAGCGCCTCCTGCAAACAGCCCAACAAGACCTGCCTCTTCCAGTCCTTGATGTTGTCCAAAAGCAGCCTCATCTGATGCACCTGCTTCACATCGTCCATCAAGCACGCAAACACCTGGTCGTGATAGAACCGCACGTCCTTCGCCCCGTCCTGGACCGACCAGTGCACAAACAGCCTCGCCACCTCGGGACTCACGACCATGGTGAACGACGACGAGTCCTCGCAGTTGTACAAATTCATCGGGGCGTCCTCGCAGAAAAACTGATGCAGCAGCGCGCTCATGGCCGTCCCCGCCATGGCCATCTCCAGCTCCGCCTCCGCCCTGCTCTGGCCATCGCCGATCCACTTCTGGGCGAAAAACGGAAACCGCGGGGGGCCGGTGCCGGCGCCAGCATCCGCTCCCATCATGCGGGGGCGGCGGCGGCGGCGGCGCAGAAACAAGCGCACCGAGTCGCCCAGCAGATCCATGACGCTGCGCTGCTGGGGCGTGAAGGCGAGGGCGGCGAAGCCGTACGTGAACGAGGGGCGGATGCGGATGTCCGCGAGGATGCGCCACACGCCGACGCAGGCGCGGCCGAGGTTGTCGGCGTCGACCCACGACGGCGTGTCGAACTGCGCGGCGGCGATGCGCGTCATCAGCGGCTCGGATTCGGGCCCCGCCGCGAAGGCCGTGGCCCAGCCCAGCAGCGCGCCGCAGTGCGCCGCCAGCCCCGGCCCGCCCGCCTCGCCGTACTGGCCGCGGCGCCAGTACGCGACGAGGCGGCGCGTGTCGGCCATGGAGACGGCGTCGGGGTCCTTGGAGGCGTTGTCGAGGATGTCGTCGAGGAAGGTTCGGAGCGATTCGGGCTTGGGGGCTTTGGGCGAGAGGGTGATGTGGTCGATGGCGGGGGGGGAGTCGTCGTGGCCGTCGCTCGGGGTGCTGCTGGGTTTGGAGATCTGGGGTGGGGCTGGGATCAGGAGCTGGGGGTCGAAGGGGAAGTCTTGGGCTGAGTCTTTGCGGGTATCGCTGGCGGCTTCGGGAACTGTTGGAGGTAGTTGAGGAGTTGGTGGGTGTATGCGTATCTTAGGGACTGGTAGGCGTGACTGAGGGAATTTGCCCCCATGGTTCCTGCGGGGGCTTTCGGGGTCATCGCTAGAGGCGTCGGGAAGGCTGTGTTCAACGGCCTTTGGATCAGCCTCTGAACGAGGTGGGGGGAAGGGCGCGTCAGGAATGTCCAGGTCGGGGATATCTGCGTCGAGAACGTTCTTTCCAGCCATGGTGGGCGTGTATGTGCGTGTATGTGCGTGATAAGCCTTGTTGTTGTTGTTGTTGTTGTTGTTGGTCGAAGCGGAAGTATTTTCTGGAACAATATGAGAGCAAGGTATGGATATGGAACAATGCTCGATGAGCCGATTCTGTTGGTCCGTGAAGAGATGGTTGATTGAAGGAGGGAAACGCGTCAGTGACGCGCTTGGACGACGCCATTTGCGCGGTGGGAGGCGCCTTCTACTCTCAGTGAGATTGCCCATGTGGAAGGTGAAACGCAACAGAAGACGTGCGGTGATCTCCTTCTGCGTGTTGCCTTTTGCTATAGCCTAACCTGGACCAGGTAGGAGCCTCTCAAAGGACGGGTAGGGCCTGGATCTCATGTGCCGTGTAGCGAAAAGAAATGAACCTGTCCACGTCTGTCTCGCAGATACATCTGAGTGGGTAGTCGAATCCAGTGCCTGGACATGGTTACAAGTCTTAAAGGTAGACCAAATCATCCCCCTATTGAATCCTAATACTGTCACATGCTATGACTTGAGCGCAGTCATTTGCTGCGATGTTGTTGAACCCCTTGATGGGTTTTCCCCGACAGTTCGCCCAACACTTTCTGGTTTCCGCTTTCTGACGATGACGTCAGTTGCTTTCTCTATTCGAAGCGGTTGTGGTAATATATCTGCCATCTTTGCCTACTTCAGAGTTCAGACGAGGCCCAATTTAAGATATTTAGGGTTCACGCACATGGCCCAAAACAGCAGCAGATCATTTGCAACTTCAAACGTCTGCGCGCAGATTTTCCCAGAGATACTATCAGTTGAGGGTATCCGGGCTGAGTAATTGCGCGGGGGTGAGGTTGGGTTAAGCGCCTGTGGCGTGTGTGGATCACTGGCTGTGTTTCTTAACTTCATCTTTCGGCAACCCAGCCAACAAAGGCCCCCCGTTCGAAACCCGTAGCTAACTTCTGTTATTTCTGACTACTATCGCTGAATACTGTCCGCTCTGATATTCTTTGGCCCCGCAGTACCTCACCCAGACCCTCGTTGCTCTACCCTACCTCACCCGTAGCACACTGCTCGCATACTATCACCACTTCCTTACCACCATCGCGTATTGGTATGACAATCGTCCTTAAGCAGCAAGCCCGGCGTCCCAGACGCGTAGAATATCGAACACCTCTTTCGCATGAGATACGTTGCCAATCATTTATCGGTCATATTCTTGTAAAAAGCACACTTCACGCCGCCCGATGCTACGCCACAAGATGCAATACCCTATCCGAGACGAACACAACAACCACGGTCTTCTACGCCAGCTCATCAATATCATCATCCCATCCCAGAGCATTATAAATATCCTCCGCGCCCTCTTCCTCCTCCTCAATCCGCTGTAAGCCGCCTTCCTCAACCTCCTCTACCACCTCCTTCTCCTTGCCTTTGCTCTCCCGCGCCCCCCTCTCCACATCCGTCGCCGCCTTCTTCACTGGCGTCTCCCCCACCAAAGCCCCAGCCCTCTTCACCGGCGTCTCCAACACCTGGCCGCGCCCCGGCTTCGTCGGCGTCCTCATCAACGCCGACACGCCCCTGTACCCATCATCCTCACTCTCCTCACTCCCTTCCTCTTCCACACCCCTCCCGGACCAAACATCGCCCATGCCCGACACCGATCTGCCCGGCGACTTGAACGACGGCGGCAGCGGCGGCGGCACCTTCAAACCCCCACTTCCACCACGGGCATTATTCGCACGGCCCGCCGAAGCTTTCAGCTTCTCCCCCAGCCTTGATATGCTACCACTGGCGCCCTTGGCCTCCGGCGTCGCCCCAACGGCAGCAGCGGCGGTGGTGCCCGTCGCAGCTGCTGGCGGCGGGAAAAGCCAATGCACCGTCTTCCCCGCCGGGCCACGCGACGGCGTTTCTTCGACACCGCCACCGCCGCTACTTCGCGCACCTGGAGCAGACATTGATGACAACATGCCATCGTTATTCTTCTTGACGACCGAACCGGGTATTGTTGCCGCCGCCGTATAGCCGCCACCCAGGCCGAAATCCACAGGTCCCGGCCTGACTGCCGACGACGGGATGACCGGCTCCGAGGAAGCCATCGTCTCCGGCGCCATATCCGCATCATCACCATCATCATCCACATCCGGATCGCTGGCAGCAGCAGCAGCAGCGACCGCAGCAGCCGTGACGAACCTGTTATGGTTCGGGGTCGCCTGCAACACCACGTCCTTCGTCTTCTTGCCGCGCTTAGGCGTCGCGCCGACGAGGACCGTGTTGTTGTTGCCGCCGACGGCGCCGCCGCCCGCTTTGCGTGACACGGGCGCACCGGGCTTGCTGCTGCTGCTGCCGCCGCCGCCGCTGCGTGACAGCAGCTGACGACGGGAGTCGGACGAGTCGGCGACCTCCTTGAGCGCGGCGCCGCGGTTGGGTTTGCGGAGGGTGCCGATGGCCTTTTCGAGCTCGCGCTCGACGTGCTCCTTCTTCCTGAGCTTCGCCTCGTTGGTCTTGGCCATGGCGTTGAGGTCGATGGTGCGGCGGGCGAAGCGCTCGAACTGGGAGAGCGAGTTGCGGCTGGACGAGGTCTGGGAGGAGTCCTTTAATTGCTGAAGCGGGATCGAGGACAGGGACGGCGCGTCGCCGCCTTCGCGCTTGAGGTTCGGGGGCAGGAGGAGCGGGTCGGTGGAAGATCGCGTGAGGGAGGGGGGGTGCCGTTGGGGCTGGTGGGCTGCGTTCTCCGTGGCCACACGGGCAAGAGGTCGTCGCTTCTTCTGGGCGGTCCGCGGGTCTGTCCGAACGGCGGCTTCCCCGGGCTTGCTGCGGTGGGTGCTTGATGACGATCCGGACGTCTTTGCGGGGGATGCACTCGGTCCGCCGAGTCTTTTGTTGATCGCAGCGGCCTTCTCTGGCAAACGGCTCATATAGCTAGGATAGGTCAGTAGAGTGCCCAAGGCTACAGCAATAAGCGCAAATCTTACAAGGGCAGAATGACCTCTACACAGAAGTTCTTGAGTTTGTCTGATGTTTCCGACTTGCCCGAGCTGGGCGTGAGAGTGTCGTTCTTCCCATTACTAGATTTAGGGACTTTAACAAGCGTCTCATCTTGCTCAACAGACTGCCAGATGCACAGTCTATCAAGGAGAAGATCAAGAAGCACGTTGAGGTCTTGAGGCTTCTTAGGTTTGCGTTTCTTGATAGGTGCTGCTTGTGGTTCCCCCGGCGCTTCATCAGGTTGCGTATCGTCCTGTTCCGTTACTTGGAAAGAAGGCGACGCCTCAAGGGCCATGACCTCCAGGACAAGGATGACCTGGGCCATTGACTCTCTGACACGTAGATCGCCTAGCCGCCGCTTTAGAACATCTGCTGGCGACTCACTATGACCGTGAGGAGAGGAACCATGACGATCTTGCAACCACCATTCCTTGACATGGTCATCCTCTCCAGGATAAAGTCCTTCCTTATTGGGTTTCAGCCTCTTGCTCTTGCTCTTCTTCTTCTCCGCCACCTTCGCCGCAACCGCATCCTCATCATCAGACAGACCCAGCAAGGGCATGGCCTTGACAATCTCCGGGAGCTTCTCCCTGTGCTTCTTATCCATAGGCCCCGGCTGAAGCAATATCGACCGGACAAAAGCCGCCAAATCCCCCATCTTCAGACCCGCATTCTCCTTCGACATGAACGCAGCCCTAGCCCTCGACATCGGCCCCTTGACGAAGAAAGCCAGCGACGTCTTCGTCAAATAAAGCGCCTGGAGGTACTGCCGCACAACCGTCTGGAACACCTCCTCCGCCGTCCGCGGCCTATCCTCCACACCCTCAACAGGCGGCTCACCACCAGCAACCGGCGCCCGCCCCGCCTCATCCACAAACGGATCCGCCTCGTCCAGCCTCCGCGACGGCGGCGGCGCTCCCACAACATCCGGCACAGGCACAGGCACAGGCACAGCCCGCCGCACGGAAAGCCGCGGCGGCGGCGGCGGCGACGATGCATGGCCACCCCCTCGCCCCGCCGCCGCCGCCGCGGGGCGATCCGCAACATCGACAGCAACGCTCCGCCACCAATGCCGGCCGTCCTCCTCCCTCCGCAACGCCTTCCGCGGCCGCGCGTACGGCAGCCCGGCAGCAGCGAGCGCCGGCAGCCCGCCGCCGATGTGCTCCTCCCGCACCCACGCCCCCAGCTTGCACAACGCGTAGACCCCGCGCCGCACGCGCTCGACGGCGTGCAGGCTGCCGTCGGCGCTGAGCCGCGTCACGAGGACTTTGGGCGTGGCGGGGGGGTCGGGGTCTTCGTGTTCGCGGCCGTTGTGGTGGTGGTCGTCGTTGTGGTCGTCATGCTCGTCGTGGTGGTCGTCGGGAGAAGTATGGCGCTCGAGAGCTTCGATGTGCGCGGAGAAGAGGCGGGTAGAGGGGAGGGCGGCGGAAGGACTGTTGGTGAGGTCGAGGAAGGAGAGGGGCAGTTGCGAGCGGTCTATGAGCTTGACGGGTGTGAGGGTGATTGGTTGGTCGAAGGGTAATGTCGGGCAAGGCTGCGGCGTCGAGACAAGGGTCAATGTTAGCATGAGAGACGCGAGAAGCTGGGGTAGGTAGGGACAAGATAAGACGTACGCGGATAGTTATCGATTTCTGTACCAATGCGGCCGGAGCATCGTCGCCTCTCTTGCGTTTGTGGGGCAGCTCGCGCTTCTTTGCGGAGGTCGAGAGAGAGGAAATTGAGGTGTTTGAGGGAGGGAGAGAGCCATGTTTATTCACTGACACCATAATGCGCCAGACGGTTCAGCGGTACGTGCGAGCCTGGCATGGCTCGTCGGGTATAGGGTTGTCTGAAGTGCTCGTGGTTGTGCTCTCGGACGCGCTTGGTCTTGCTTGCATTCGAAGCGGCGCGTGCTGCGACGCGCTCCACGATCGGCCGATCCGCTCCACACGTCACTCTCCCACACGCCGGGAGACCGTCAACTTTATCTCGTTTTCGCGCTGCACCTTTCCCGCTTTGACTAGACCAATGGGTCCGTGAATGCTCGTTCAATTCATGCTACTTTTTTGCTTTCCTAATACGGATGCCGGCCTTGATTGGCCGGCCTCATGGCTCAATCGCAACCATAGACGCCTAAATATACTCCCTGTCTGCGTAGCTCTGGATAATGCCCTCTGCAGTGGCCTCATACTCCTTCAAAGCAACCTTGTCACCCTCCACCACCGTGTTGGCCTGAACGAACACCTTCCTGGGCTGCTTCTTGGCAAGCACGACAGGCCTGACCTTATCCGCGAAGAAATCATCGACATGAGTGATGTCGTTGTACATCTTGGTGCCGGCCTGGACGTCCGCCGTAGCTTTGTAGATGTGCAGTTGCTGGAGGTATTTCTCCACAGCCACACGGCCGTGGCTAAGAATCTTACTCCTCTCGAGGCGGATTGTGAGGTCGGACAGGTCATCCTTCGTGTACTCAAGCTCGCAGAACTCCTTGCCAGCGTTCAGGAATACGCGCAGGATGGAGTAGCGTGCTTGCATGTGCGCCTGTCCCCACTTGCGTGACTTTGGGTCCCAGAACTCAAGCGCAGCGACACCCGCACGAGCCATGCTAAGGTAGCCTGCGTACAGCACGTCGCCTCCTTCGCCATTGATGTCCGTTTCGCCAGAGCCGAAACCGAAGATCTTGAGGATGTCGAAGTCGCAGGACAGAGCCATGGCGACGCACTCTGCACGACACTCTTCGTAGCTGGCAGCAACGGGGCCAAACACTGATCCCCAGGTTTGCCCGGGCTTGTACCAGGTGGTAACCGGCTCGTTGGTCAGGGGGCTGACCGGAGGGCTCTTGACATCGAAATTGTATTCACCCGGAGAAGTCTCCTGCAAGAGCTTACCGCATCCGTGACCAAGCAGCTCGTGAAGTCCGACCTGAACCTCGAAGGCGGGGTCACGGAACTTCCTGTAAACTTCGTCGTCGCTGTCCTTGATGAAAGGGATTTTCTCGTTCGGCGCCTTTGCAGAAAGAACGTTGCCCAGGCTCACGTTCTTGAAACCTTCTTTCTGACGGATGTCGTCATAGTTGGGAATGTTGATACCCGCAGGGATGCCGCTGCCGGCAAAGGTAAGAACCTCGAGGGACGTGAAGTCGGGGCTGAGGAACTTGTCTTTCTCGAATTCTTTCTTCCACGGCAAGCGAGGAATGAGAGTAGGAGCAGCCTCTACCAGCGCACCAAAAGCCTTGGTCCTCTCCTTGTTGACCATGGCCACGAAGCCCTCCCATTCACCACGAATTCCGTGAGGGTCACGGTAGGTCTCCACGAAGCCGATGTCAGTCTCAACCATAGGACCCTTATCTCTGATCCAGAACCTCTGGCTATCCTTGTACGCTTCGAGAGAGCCGGTAGTAAATGACTTCTCGTAAGCATCCAACATAGACTTCTCGGTGTCATTGCTGGCGTATTGTCTCGCCTTCTTGATCGCGTCGGCGATGGTAGCCATCTCCTTGGAGTAGTCGCCGAAGACGAGCTTGAGCTTCTTGCCCTTGAGCTTGCCGTCCAGCTCCCACTCAGACTCGGGGATGTCGCGCTGGTCCTTCGAGGGCGAGCTAAGCGAAGATGCAATCAGGACCTCGAAGCCATCCTTTGTCTTCCTGACTCTGGTGTTCTCGGGAAGCAGCCTCTTGCTCTCCAGGAAATCACTGATGGTGGTGATCTCGTCCTTGGTGATGCTCGGAGAGTCGGGGTAGTACGTAGACAAGTGGCCGGCATCGGGATATCCCAGGTGCATCGACTCCACGGACTTGTCCGCGAAGATGTCGTCCTTGAACCTTTCATACTGTTGCAGCGATTCTGGGGTTAGAGTAGCGAGGGCCTTCAACTGCCTGGTCTCAAGGCGCGGAATGAACTTGGAATCACCAAAGCTCTTGTAGTTGCCGGCGTTGCCCAGGAACTGAGCAGCATAGTCCAAGAACGCGTTGAGCTCGTCGTCCGACAGACCAGCATCCTTCTGGGCCTTCTTCCAATCTCCCTTGTAATGACGGTGGAGGGTGACGATGAAGTCGTAGATGTGCTCGGACTCGGGGGAGATTTGGCGGAGGACAATGCGCGTCCCGGCGAAGCAAGCACTGCTCAGCTGTTAGCAGAACACACGGATGCTGAGGTCATGCGCCGCGTCAGGAGTTCAGGGAGGATCGCCAGAGCTGAGAGTAGCACAGGCATCAGGCCCAGCCAGACGCTCACTGGTGGGAATCAACGCAGATACACCAGCACAAGAAGTACCTACGAGCGAAGCTGAGGCAGATGCAGGCGTTGCTCCTGGAGCGTGACATGGCCGATGAGCTCAGCTTCGCGACGCAAACATCTTCACGTGTATCATGCTGGCATCCTGCGATGCACTGCAGCTCTGCACAGCTTAGGCGAGCCTCCCCGCAACCAACGATAGGCAGATGTGCAGGCGTGGGGTAGCTGACATGGAGAGGTAGTGCGAGTAGAGCTTCTGCTGGTCGTTGAGAGCTTCAAAGTGAGGCTTGATGGCCAGCGGCACAACCGTAGGCGGGCTGTCAGCCAGGTAGTGTTTGAGAGTTCCGGGATCCATGGTGGCAGTTGCAGTTGCTGGGTTGGTGTTGTGGACAGCTCGTTGCTGGTGGCGGGGTCCTAGGCAGCGGGAACGCTGCCACTGCGGGGCGGCATCCACGGCTTGGCGGGCGCGCTCTCCGGTTGTACACAGCCAGGAACGAGACACAGAGCCGCCGGCGCTGCAGATGCTTGCATATGTGCGCGCAGGCGCGTCCCCAAGCGGCTGCGACAGCTGCACGCCTCTGCTGTGCAAAAAATCTACTCGACGGCTGCTGCCGCGGCAGGCCAGCGGCCGGAAGGCCGTGAGCGCGCGCAGAGCCCGGGTCTGGGGGCTCATGGCACCGGCGGCAGGGCTGAGGGGGCGCGGGCGCTTTCGAGGCACGCGGCTCGCCGGAGAGCGAGGTAATGAAGTCCAATAATTGCCAGACTCCTTTTGCGATGCGAGATGTCGATTTGCGGCCCGCGTGTTGACTGCGGTTGGCCCGTGCGGGCGCTTTCCCACACAGACCACAACAGAGCGGGCGCCTTCGCCTTTCTCCTTCACCGCTGTCCTCCCATCCTGCTCCTTCTCCATCGCTTCCACCGCCCGACTACCTCCCCCTAGTCGCGTCTCCAGCTTTTCTTCGCCAGCTTCTCACTCCAACACCATCCACATCACCCACACACCACAGCCACCATGCGCGAGATTGTACGTTTCTGCGGCAGCCCGACTGTTTTAACGCGTCCCCTGACAGCCCCGCGTCTTTGCCCCCCGGCCGCAACAACAGCGCCAACAACGGGGCAACCATTGCTAACATCGCTTTTTCGCACCCATAGGTTCACCTTCAGACCGGCCAATGCGTAAGTCTCCTCTAGCCTGCTGTGTTCGCTGCATCGCGCTGACTTTCTTCAGGGTAACCAAATTGGTGCTGCCTTCTGGTTTGTTGCCAAAACACTCCCGCAGCCGCGCCCCCCGCTGACGCGAATCAACACCACAGGCAGACCATCTCTGGCGAGCATGGCCTCGACGGCTCTGGCGTGTAAGTGTGCGCTGTCTTTGCCGCGCTTTGCAATCGCTGACCCTCGGCAGCTACAATGGCACCTCCGACCTCCAGCTGGAGCGCATGAACGTCTACTTCAACGAGGTACTCTTTCACTAATTAGACGAACACGTAAAGTATGGCAATCTTCTGAACGCGCAGCAGGCTTCCAACAACAAGTACGTTCCTCGTGCTGTCCTCGTTGACCTCGAGCCCGGCACCATGGATGCCGTCCGCGCCGGCCCCTTCGGCCAGCTCTTCCGCCCCGACAACTTCGTCTTCGGCCAGTCTGGTGCCGGTAACAACTGGGCGAAGGGTCACTACACCGAGGGTGCCGAGCTCGTCGACCAGGTCCTCGACGTCGTCCGTCGCGAGGCCGAGGGCTGCGACTGCCTCCAGGGTTTCCAGATCACCCACTCCCTGGGTGGTGGTACCGGTGCCGGTATGGGTACGCTCCTCATCTCCAAGATCCGTGAGGAGTTCCCCGACCGCATGATGGCCACCTTCTCTGTGGTTCCCTCCCCCAAGGTTTCGGATACCGTTGTTGAGCCCTACAACGCCACCCTGTCCGTCCACCAGCTTGTTGAGAACTCGGACGAGACCTTCTGTATTGACAACGAGGTGCGTGACATTGCCACAATCCGCTGGTTTGAGCACTGAACTGACTCTCCATAGGCTCTGTATGATATCTGCATGAGGACCCTCAAGCTCACCCACCCCTCGTACGGTGACCTGAACCACCTCGTCTCGGCCGTCATGTCCGGCGTCACCACTTGCCTGCGTTTCCCCGGTCAGCTGAACTCTGACCTGCGCAAGTTGGCCGTCAACATGGTCCCCTTCCCCCGTCTCCACTTCTTCATGGTCGGCTTCTCTCCTCTGACCAGCCGCGGCGCCCACTCTTTCCGCGCCGTCACTGTTCCCGAGCTCACCCAGCAAATGTTCGACCCCAAGAACATGATGGCTGCCTCTGACTTCCGCAACGGCCGCTACCTCACCTGCTCCGCCATCTTCCGCGGTAAGGTCTCGATGAAGGAGGTCGAGGACCAGATGAGGAACGTTCAGAACAAGAACTCGTCCTACTTCGTTGAGTGGATCCCCAACAACGTCCAGACGGCGCTCTGCTCCATTCCTCCCCGTGGTCTCAAGATGTCCTCCACCTTCGTCGGAAACTCGACCTCGATCCAGGAGCTCTTCAAGCGTGTCGGTGACCAGTTCACTGCTATGTTCCGTCGCAAGGCTTTCTTGCATTGGTACACTGGTGAGGGTATGGACGAGATGGAGTTCACTGAGGCTGAGTCCAACATGAACGATCTGGTCTCCGAGTACCAGCAGTACCAGGAGGCGTCGGTCAGCGATGCCGAGGAGGAGTACGACGAGGAGGCTCCTCTCGAGGAGGAGTAGATTTCTGTCCAGCTGGATCGGTAGCTTGGGACATAGGAAGCCTCTCGAGCTTGGTCTTGTTTGGTCTTGAACTTCTCAGAACGTGCGAGTGGGGTGAGCTCGAACGTGTAGTTAAGCGTTTCAAAACAATAGTAGTGATTTCGTAATCCATTTCCTGCGTTGAATATGCAGACTTTACACAGTTGACAATTGACCCTGCATCTTGTTCTCTCCACAATCAGGACGTGAATACCAGGCCATCAGGAGCCACGGATTTGACAACAAAACCGATGTAACTTTGCATTTGGTATCTCAGATGTTAAATCCCAACAATAAACCACCCCTTCCTCAACCTAACCGTTTGGCAGTTGAATACCCATGTGACTGTTAAAACGCCCTATGTAAATGCAAACGTGCTGCCTTGTCGTCGTCGACTTCGTTACTTCCGAATCTCTCTTTCTCTCTCTACGTCCACTTAACTTGAAACACGCTTTGTTGAATCGCGTGTGATGTTGAATTATTGTATAACCGTTTTCCCTAATCGCGGGTCGGTTCGGTTCGTCGTTCCCCCCCTTTTTTTCCCCTTCATTCGAGGCCTTCCCCTTTTGCCGTTTTTTCTTATCCTCTCACGTGAGCCAATAATGCGGATAATGGAACCGAAAATCTCCGCTCGGTCCGGCCCGCATCCGTTCTCTTTTTTTTTGTTCGTTTCATTTTTCTGGACGTGTGGGCTCGTGCGTAGAAGAGGGGGCGGAGGGGGGGAGGACCGGAGGACCCTTATTCGCCCTCCCCACATTTCTACCCGTTCCAATCCCTGGCGCTAGTAGTAGAACTTCCTTGCTTCCCCGTCCCCTTCTTTTCTTTTGAAAGTTCGCCCGCGCAGGCATTCTCTCCTTTCCCCCCCCCCTCCCATCGCATGTGCGCACATACATCTACGACGACTTCTTCCCAGCCGCCCTCTCGCGGTCCCTCTTCGCGTAAATCTCGCCGGTGAACGGGTCCTCGTAGCGCAGGGCGACGCTGTACGCGGCGTACACGATTGCCGTGAGGAAGAAGCCGGCGGGCTTGGCGAAGAGGATGGCGGAGCCGAGGAAGGAGGCGGTGCTGCCCCAGTACATGGGGGCGTCGGTGACGTTGAACGGGAAAGACGACACCTTGGCGTCCATGAGGATGCCGAAGTAGTCGCCCAGGTAGGTGCCCGTGACGCCGAGCGCCCACATGGACGAGAGGACGAGGATGTTGCCCGAGGCGAGGAGGCCGTAGGCGATGGCGCGGAAGGTGGGGCTGAGGAGGAGGGGCAGCGTGGGCTGCGACTCGATGGCGGTTTTGTAGCTGTTGCGCGTCCCTCCCCCGGGTGAGGGGGGTTTGGTTAGTTTGGTGGGCTGGGGTGAAGGGTGGCTGCTGCTGCTGCTGCTGCAGGGACGTACATGATGTCGCGGATGATTCCGAGCGAGAAGATGGTGACTGCGAGGCCATAGCAGCCGTACAGCGAGTTGCCGCCGAAGAGCTTGGTGATGACCTTGTTGTGGTATTCTGTCGTGCCAGACAACGCGTCAGCCAGCCTGTTCGTTCCCACAAATGCAGTTCTGAGGTCCTCAAAGGCGCGCTGCGATGAACAGAAGCGACGTGGGAGTGCCATTGAGGGCAGGGCGAGCTCGCGCGCCTTTGGCGGCGCGGTGCGGCTAGGAGTATCTTCCGCGCCAGAGATTCCCGACGTTTTGAAGCCCCGCAGCATTGAACGAGTGAGGTTTGAGGAAGTACAGTACCTTGCCTAGCAGCGATGCTAAAGAAAAAGTCAGCGGTTGGCTTCTCGTTACCTCGTCGTCGTAGGTCTCAATGCAATTGGGTGGTTCACTTACTTCCAGAAAGTCGGGTTGAACAGAATGCTTGCAGCCGACACTGTTCAATGGAAGTCAGCGCTCTACTCATTCACGTGGTAACCGTTTCCAGGAGCTATGAGCGGTGTTGCGCTGCGCCGGCGCAAAGACTTGTCGGGTCGGAACAAGGCGGAGCGGGGGAAGAACGCCATGGAAAGAGCTGTCAGTACTCACGCCAGAGGGTCGGCTGGCTGAAGTCGATGTAGGCAGCCATTGTTGAGGGCGAGGGAAGCGGCGGTGTCGGAGCTTCAGAGGAGAGGAGGGGGCGGGGCAATGGCGAGGAAGCAACGAAGAGGTAGCTTGGAGGAAAAGCGAGGAATGAGGGATTTAGCGTGGTTGGCGTTGTTGACAGATGGTGTTCCTCCACCAGCCGCGCGATGACGGGGCTTGCATGTGACTGGGGAGAGCGGCGCGGCAAGCGACGGCGACGACCGTACAACGTCAGAGCTTCCCCACGTTTTCGTCATCTGCCATGCCGTCGCCGCGGCCAACACCATAGCCGCAATTTCGCCTCACTCATCCAGTAAGATTCCTGATCAATGGTCTTATTAATGGGTATTCAGTAGCATTAATTTGTTGTTCAGCGTGCGATCGAAAGCCTGTGCCCACGAACTGTCGCCGCTCGTAAGCCAACATTAATCGAAGGAATAAGAGAATTGAGGAATCTGTGCTTTTGGGTCCGTATCCATCCTAGTTCAATTTTCATTTCTTAGCAGCTCTCCCTGTCCCCCCAGTCTCTCGCAACGTCTGAGAAACCCTACAAAGCATTCGACGCGCACGAGAACGCGCCGCCGAAGCTGTCCGCCTCGTATCCTTCGATGATACTCTTGACGACTGCGTAGGTTCCGCCGCTCAGGAAGAGCAGACCGATCATGCAGAGGATGATGTTGAATACGAAGCCAACGGGGCCTTTCCAGCCGCGCGTTTTGTAGAAGTTCGGCCCATAGTCCGCCCTGCGCATGCGGATGTAGGCGACGCCCCAGAAGATGAAACCGAAGAACGAATCAAAGAGCGAACTCATCAAGCTGAGCAGATCCGAGAAGAATGGAATGACTTCAGCGATAATGAAGGCAAAGACCCAGAGGGCCGCGAGGATGCCACCCCAGGCCGCCCAGCCGACGATCGTGTGGTCGCTCATGTGGCGCGAACCCGAGAACAGGCGGAAGAAGACAAAACGGGCCGAGACCGAGGCATACAGAACACCCAGGAAGATGATTGTCGGAATCATGAAGCTGAAGCTGACCTTCTTGTAGACCTCATCGCTGATGGACCCGAATGCTGGAGCTGTGACGTAATTGGTGCCGGTGTAGGCGTAGACGATTGAGCCAACCAAGCTGAATACGATCACTTCGGCAATTGTGACAGTCCAGAGGGCTTTGGGGAAATCCCTGGGGTTCTTCATCTCCGCAATGAACGACGGAAGCGTAATTTGACCGATGAAAGTGTAGCTGATGTTCATGAACGCGTTCATGCCAGCAACAAACGTGGTTCCTGCGGCTGGAACTGCCAGAATGACAGGCTCACCCAGGCTCGGATAGCCAGCTGGGTGAGGTTCAATGGCAGAGAATATCGTTGCCAACAACACGGAGATGAAGGTAAAGAACGCAGAAGCCGTGGCCAGTTTGGCCAGGGTCGAAAAGGTTCTCGGAAGCGAGCAAAACCAAGAAATGACGGCGACAATAGCGGAGAAGCCAATGGTGCACATGCCGTGGTTAGTCATTGTGTTCAGATATTTCGCGCCAACGAGACAATGGAGACCCTGCAATACGTAAGTGACAGCCCCAGTGCGGAACACTCTGCAACACTTACTTGGATAAAGGTGTTGTTCAGGAGGAACATGACGGCCGTGAACCACCACGCCCATTTCGAGTTGAAGAACAGCATCTGACCAATGTCGCACACGTCCTTGACCTCGGGATGGCGCAGGCAAAACTCCCTGGCTGGCTGTCAGCGCCAAGCGCGCAGAAACCTTGGGGGCGCAGACTCACCAAGTGATCAATGACGTGTACAGGACCAGACCGGCTATCACAACGGTCAAGATCAGGCCAGGCACAAGTCCCAGAATCGAATAGGACCAGGGGAAGGACATGATTGCCAGGCAAATGTACTCGGAGAAGAGCAGGGCTGCCGTCTTGGGCCAGCTGCATGTGCGATACTGGATCGCGTTGGATTCCTCCAGGGCGATCTGCTTGCCCACGCTCACGGTGCTATCCGAGTCGGAGCCGCCGACGACGACGGGCTTGATGATGGGCTCGCTGATGCGGCGCATGGGGCGGTCGCCGTGCGCGCGGGCGGCTTCCTGGTCGTAGCCGGCGCCATACTTACCGGAGGTGTCCAGGACATGTTTGTCGTCGGAAGGAGAGGGTTTGCGGTCGACGGTGCCGTCGTCGACAGTCTTCTTGCTGCCGAAACCTAGCGCCATTTCACCGACCGGATGGGCTGGACGAACGTGATGGTGTACAGAGGATCGCGACTCGAGACCGTAGGCGGCATGAACCACCAGTTGTATTCGGGAAACACACGGAAAATAAGGGCGACGCAACGAGAATCTTCACTCGGTTGCGTGCTAGGTCTCGGACGTGGGCGCCGAGTTGGGAAGCGGTCGGGGGCTGAAGCACTGGGATGCGGGATCCTGAGAGGGGCGGGCAAGCGTGAGTCGGGCAAGCCGCGCGGTGGGACGGGGTTTTATATGGATGATGTTCGAATCAGCCCGGCAGGCTAGTGGTGGAGTAGCAGTAATACGTTGCTCTGGAGAGCTAGCGCAGAGCGTGGGAGCCCAGTCTTCCACATCCCCATCACAGGCGTGGCAGGAACGAATGGGCAACGTCAGCTTGATGAGGAACAAAGAAGGCTAACGCGCCAGGGCAGCGGGGCGGGCTCCCAGCTCGAGGCAACAATGGGTTAATGATGCTGCGCAACCGGGCTGGCGGGCGCCGCACAGCAACTGCCCCGGCGGGCTGCTTCCATGCTCGCGCATGCCTCATGCCATCGGCGCACCCGCCGAAACGTGAAAAGAAAATTCAGTATCCGGGCGGCTGAAAGGAGCGTTGGCCACGCGCTGCCCGCAAACGTCGGCGGCGTCGAGTGAAAATGGAGGTAACGTGATAAGACGCCATCGATGCCTATTTCCCGCTAAGCATCAGCCAAGCGGCCGCCTCCGCCAGTCGCCCGCGGGTTTTGGGGGCGTTGGTCTGCCTCGCCGCCCGTGGCACCGTGGTCTCTTCTGCCTCGCCGCCGCCCAAGCCGACAGCTGCGCAGTCCACCCCCCGGCTTCCGCCCGCGTGAACAGACCGCCCGCGCCCGCCACATGCATCCTTCGGAATCGCCGTGCGCCTGACAGGCCGCCTGCTTGCGCCTAGGGCCATTGAGGCAACAAGCCACCCTGCGCGCTCTTTAGTCGTCGTGGGAACCGGTTGTGGAAAGTCCCAGATCGTGATCTCATGGCGCACACCAAGCTACGGAGCAAAGACGAGGTCCAAGGGCTGGGCGGCTTGGTGGATCCCAGCCGCAGCCGCACTAGGGGCTCGGCGGCACAGCATGCGTACAACGTCACGCTGCTTTCGTATGTTCCCGTTGAATTGTACGGCTCCATGGCGCCGGTCTTGAGCGGCTCGGGCCTCGATTGCGTCCGCAACAAAACGCGCCTGCCCTGCCCTGGACCTGGACCCCGCCGCTTCGTGGGGCGCCTGCCAACGGCTCCTGCGCGCCGGGACTCGGGTCTTCATGCAGGTTGCCACTCTTCGCCTTCTGCCTGCGTAGCAACACAACGGTATGCCTTATCTATCACCTATCGGCCAGGAAGCTGCGGTGAAACTCTGTTTGTAGGACGGTCGCGATACCGAAGTTTCCTATCTCATCGTTGCAGCCGATTACTGTGGAACATGAGACCCTCGCCGATCTTCTTATCCCGCACTGACAACGCCATTGTTGGTGAGAAGACACAACACTCGCGAATAAATATGCTCGTTTGGCAATGCCCGTTCGGAAAGGGAGGGCCAGCTACTCGAGCGCTCGAATTAGACCAAAACACCTGCTCCACCCGCTTTTTGGGAATCAGCCCTTAGATATGCAAGTTCAGAAGATCCGGCGCCAACTATGCCTTCTCTTGTCCCAGCTTTCCGTGGATTCCATTCTTGAGCCTTCACGCCCAAGGCTCATTTACTCGTCGTCTTCATCCTCATCATCAACGACCCGTCTTCGCTTCCTAGAACTTGCCGCAACAACTTCATCATCGTCGTCATCCTCATCCGCATGAGCCCTCTTCGGGCTGCCGTGACCCCCCCTGCGCTGCTGTGCCTCGAGGCGCTCGTCGATATCCTCATCGTCTTCGAACGTCTCAGGCTCCTCGTCGCTGCCGGCCAAGAAGTCGTCGTCTTCGTCATACTCGTCCTCTCTGAAGCGAGAGCGGGGGCCGGCATCCTCCTCCTCATCGCTATATTCTTCACGCCTGGGGCGTCTCTGCTTGGAGCCGCGGGCTCCACGGTCGTCATCGTCATATGCGCTTGACTGACCATAGCGAGAACCACTATATCCCGCAGACCGACCGAAGCCGCTGCGACCGAAACTCCGGTCATTCCTCATGCGCATACGCTCCTTTTGACGCTCTTCCTGCTTGATATGACGCTCGCGTTCCCTCTCGGTCGCCTCCGCCTCTCTCTTCTTCTTCTCCGGATCTTCAGTCAAGCTGAAGACCGCTACGGAGCCGCCAGCACCAGAGCGTGCCTTGGCGGCAGTGGCGAGGCTCTCTTGCAAACGGTCTATGGAGTCGTCGGTTGAGCTCTTGGATGGCAGAATGGAAAGACCAGCGGTGACCTTGTTGGTGACGCGCACAAGTTGCTCGCGTGTATTGGGCGTGCAGAGATAGGTGTAGGAATCTTTGCTTGGATCATACGCCGTGGTCCCGCTTTTTCTGTTATCCCGGATACTTGTGGGTGTAGGCTTGGATGGGTTAATCTGCGGAGGAGCAAGAGGCCTCCCGTCAAGCTCGCACTGCTGTGTGGGATCGGAACCAAGTTGCAGAGTAAGGGAGCCATCAGACCACCTAAGGATGCGGGCATTGGATTGGATTTTAGAGGGGTCGGAAGGAGAATGACGCCAGCGAATGGTGGTCTGGGCGGTCTTGAAGGGCGAGAATGTCGATGGTGCCTCCTTCTTGCTGTGATGGTCCGTCGTGGGCGGCTGCCATTTCTCCAGGACGAATGTTTTGGGATCGAATGCGAGGAAGCGCGGCACTCTCATAAGATAGAGCTGCATGTACGTCAGCGAGAAGCTCGTGTTGGCATAAAGCTCCTACACACCTCGTTGTCGCTAGGCTCGGGAACTGCATGGCGTGGCAGCGATGCCTCGGCTATCTGGAGCTCCATGGCCTCGAACTCCTCCGCAGCCGCACTCTTGACACGGTCCTCGCGACCCACGTCGTCGCCAGAATCAAGCTCCTCGTCATCGAGTGTGCGTTCAGCCCTGCAAGGTTCGTCAATTGGCGTCCAAGCAAGGTATGGCTTTCAATTCCACATACGGCGCCTGCTCGGCCTCTTCCTCATCCCCCCCATCGCCGAAAAGGTCATCTTCATCGTCCAGCGGCGGTTCGTCGTCGTTGAGCTCCTCGTCACTCGCCGCGGCTCCAGCGCCGGCGGTGGCGCGTCTTCCGGTGACAACATCGTCATCGTCGTCGTCGTTCTGCTCGGCAGGAGGCGAGGTTGACGCGGCGGTGGCGGCGGTGGCTTCAGCGTCGTCGCCGAACATGTCGGCCATGTTGTTCTCCGAGTCGGACGCCATGGCAGTTGTTGCGAGGTGTGCGGTTGACGGGCAACAGACGGACGCGGAGGCGCAGCGGGCGGATTGGCAGCGGTGCCGGGCGAGCGGCGGCGTGCTGGGCGGGTGGCGCAGGAGCGACGCGGAGGGTCGAGTGCGGCAGACGGGCTTTGTGGTGAGCTGCAGCTGGCTTCGCATTCACAAGCGCAACACGAGCGCGTCGCAGCTCGGCGGCCGCCCGTCGCGGCTGAGGCGGCGCGGAGAAACAAGCGACCGGCGGCATGCTCCCGTCCCCTTTCAGGAGGGGCGCAACTGAAACCGCCCGGCCACGGTAGGGAGAGGTTCAGACATCTACACTCCTCCCGCCCCTCGCTCTCCGTCTTCTTCTGCCACATCGCTCGACGGCTTGCCGCCATCCTCAGCCGCCGCCCCTATTCGCTCGCCAAAACTGCGTGATTTTCCGCGCCCACAGACATGGCGTCGTTCTTCTCCAGCGTGTAAGTTGCAACAGGCTTAGCATTCCTCGCGGCCGTTAGATCCCTCTGCATGCCTTCTCCTTGCCCCCGCTGCCCCGCGCATGGCTCTGTCTAGCCGCCCAGCCTCCAATTTCCCCCGATCGTCTCCCGCACGTGGCTATCATTTGCTCTTTGTTCTCAATTCTCCACCCGCTGCACACCGCCCACACGTGATTCACTCCCCGCGTCTCTGTCCGCCTTCCACCATTCTGCCTGCTGCAAGTCCCTCCCTTTACTTCTCGTCTGTACCTGCGCTGGGCACGAGCGGCTCCCTTTCATGCCAGACCCCACCGCATCCAATCGACACCGGGTCTAGAACGCCACCACTAACTTAATTGCTCCACAGTCGCCAAGGCTTCGGCGGACGATCCAACAAGAACAGCAATAACCAACCGCCGCCGCAAGCCAAGGGCAGCGCCTCGCCCACCATGTCTTACCAGAACTCCCCCCAGCAGTACCCCAGCCAGCCCCAGCAGCTGCCTCACTCGCCCGCAATGGCTCCCGCTGCTCCCAACGAGAGCGCTCCAATCGAGGCCGACCGTTCTCAGTCGCCTCAGAACAGGAAGCCTCCGTATTTCTTCCGCGAAGAGTACTCCAACCTCATCGTCAAGGGCAACTTCATGACCCTGGCTGCGCGGCCCAAGATGGTTGACGAGGGCGAGTGGCTTGCTCACCAAGGTTCGTGACACTTGGCTCGCCACCTCGCTGTACACCTTCTTACCTTCTGACAGTTGTCGAGCAATACCGTCTTCTGGACGGCATGATTCAGATCATCAAGACTCTGGATGAGCGGACGGGTCGTCCTATCTGCAACCCGGACACTTGCCCCACCATGTCTGCAGCCGGGTAAGTTCGCCTGAGATTTCTAGATGAGCAACCAATTATACTAAGTAGCGGCGATGAATTCAGCCACACCTACACCTGGTTGGATAACAACAAGAAGCCCATCAAGATCCCCGCCTACCAGTACATCCAGCTGGTCCAGAAGTGGATCGTTGGCAAGATTGGCGACCAGAACCTCTTCCCTGTGGATACGTCGATACCGTCCCAGCCTTCCGGCACCTCCGCCGCCACCTATGCCTCGGGAGGTCTGAACACCCCCGGCTCCAACAGTCCGATTGCTGCCGGCCCGACCTCTCTCAACGCTCCGCTTTCTCAACTTTCCGGCGACGAGTGGATGGGCAAACCCGCTGGATTCCCCAAGCACTTCAAGGACGACATCAAGTCCATCTACCGCCAGATGATGCGCTGCTACGCTCACTTGTACCATGGCCACTGGCTGGACCCTTTCTGGAACCTCAATGCGTACAAGGAGCTCAACACGTGCTTCATCCATTTTATCAACGTCGGCCAGCAGTACGATCTGCTCAGCGACAAGGAGATGGAGCCCATGATGCCGCTTATTCAGCTGTGGCTGTCCAAGGGTCTCCTCCCGGAGAAGCAGGCCGATGGAACCCAAGCACCTTCCAGTAGTTCGCAGCCCCAGGAGGGTCAGCCTGCTGCGGCTTAGACCGGGGGACGAAAAGAATACGATGAAACGACGTGAGGAAGGATGCTGAGAGACGAAAGGATCTATTTCATTTTACGTGGTTGATAGAGCGACAGAGTTTCTTTTCCACGGCCGCGAGAGCTTTCTTTCGAAGAAAGTCAACGGCATATTCGCGCGCGCGCAAAGAGAAGGTGGCAAAGCATTCGGCGAGCCAAAGGGAAAAGGAATGGGATGGGTACTTGAACGGAAGGGTGAACTGAGGCTTTTTTATCTTCTTCTTTTTTTCTACGCTTGCACTTGATTTCCGTGGCCATCAGTGGTGCATGCTCTGGGCGTTTTCTTTACATTTTGCTTGCTTGCAAAAGCGCAGAAATTTGCTTCAATGATATCGATGCGGCCATTCTTCACTCTGGCTCATCATCTCACTTGCGCTCATTCCCGGAATTATTACAGCGAAATCGCAATGAGGAGCACGGCATATGGTAGCTTGGACTCTCGATCAAGCAGGTGGATGAAAAATCACATACAAGATTGAATACGAACACTGGTGTGTGACTCTTTCCAGATATTCATGTGACTAGTGTTTGCTGGAGAGTTCACTGGCAAAAAAGGAAGAGCATCTCTTCAAGGACCGGTCTCTTGACACCTCTACGTTTCTACGCCTACGTCTGGCTGAACATGATGAATATCATCTTATCACCGAGAAGAGAACTCATCTCGCCACCACCTACTTTCCTGTCACGACTTCTCCACAAACGTCATACACGGATCTCGCATTGGCAAGGGCGCTGTCAATCGTGATCACCACTGACAGAAGCCCTTCATCATCTACCTAAAGCGCTGGAATTCACCATCATCACCGCAAGCGTCAGTGTTGCCGGCCTATCCGGGGAGAGCAACGGACTGAGGATCCATCTGACAAAGACGGAGTCCTAACGCAGTGCATTGTGTTGTACGAGAGCCAGCGTCCAGTGCACTTAGTGCGTTGCATCATCGGTATGACCGACGTTTTCCTGGAGCGTTCAGTTGCAGAGGAAAACCGTCCGTGGTATTTAAGAAGGACGGACTGCGTGACCAGCAGCTTGATGCGGACCCGCTGAACGCCAAACGAAGCGTGCAACATCCCGATTTCACGCACACACACTCACGTACGACAAGACCAATGTATGTATGTACTAAGAAAATCCCGTTCATTGTATCATACTCCCGAGTTCCCTGCTCACTGTCCCTCCCTCCCTTCTTCCGCCCTCTACACTGAAGGGCGGATCTCCCACCGCGAGCGAAGCACCGTCTATCATCCTGACCACATGAATCCAGCTGACCAGATATCTCACTGCCCCGCTGGACGTTCAAAATAAAACAAACAAAATCGTGGTCATTAGATGTCCGCTCGCTCTCTTTTTTTTTCTTCTAGTCCACATGATACAGACAGAAAAAAAAACCAACATTCTTTTTGTCCCCCTATCCATAGGTAAAGGGAGAAAAAAAAAGATGGTCTTCCCGGCATTCGTTCCTCTAAATATGCCAAGAAACCCTTTTCCTTTGGTTATTCGCAACGCCAAAGCCCGATGCAAAAAAGCAAAGTCCGCTTCTTCCCGTCATTGCTCTGCTTCCATTTTTTTCTCTCACCCTGTTGCGATTCCACTCGGTGGGCCCCCAACTACACAGCCACCAGCCGCACCGCGACAAAAAGTCGATGATGCGGCGGCAGCCACCTCTTCCCCATCCTTCCATGGCCGTGGTATCCGCCCCTTTCTCCTTAAATTTCCCTTTACGCCGACTCGCCCGGCAGCAAGTTGCTCTTGACGGCGAACATCTTTGCCGAGACGCCGGCGGTGAAGCCGTCGACCTGCCTGCTGTACTGCTCGACCTGGCGGCTGTTGAGCAGGGTCTCGAGGCGGCTGGGCTCCTGGGGCAGCTTGAACAGGCGCTGGTACTCGTCCTCGGGCAGGGGGGGCTGCTTGGCGGCGGCGCGGGCGGCGTTCTCGGCCTTGCGCTTCTGCTGCCAGGCGGTGATCTTGGCCTGCTCGCGGCCCATGGAGCGCTGGTAGTACTGGTAGTTGTTGAGCTCCGTGTGGTGGCTCTCGATGCTGTCGAGCAGCAGGTCGCACGTCTTCTCCAGGAACGGGTCGATGGACAGGTCGAGCGCGTCGTAGTTGGGGCACAGCGGCGGCTGCGGCTTGCGCGGGTCCGTGTGCAGCGCCGCGAGGTGCGAAGGGAAGTTGAGCTCGTCCTTGGCGGGCTGCGCCGGCAGCTGGTGCAGGAGTGAGGTGAGGAGGTGCGAGTTGTGGACCATGAGCGGCAGCTCGACGAGGATGTCGTGGTAGCGGAGGCCGCTCTTCTGGAGGCTGCGACGTGTCAGCGGTGGTGCGCGTGTTGGGATACAACAGCAGTGGAGAGCCTTGGGGACAGTGGAGTGTCTCGATCTTCCAACGCCCATGACGAGCTCTCCACTGATGACGTGGGGCGTAGAGCATACCTCTCAGTGGTGAACTTGCCCTCCTTGTAGGCCTGCATGAACTGGGGCGACAGGCGGAAGGCGCGCAGGCTGAGAGCGCCCTGGGAGCTGCGGCTGACGTCGTGGACGAGAGCGATGGTGCGCTCGTTCGCCTCCTTCTGGTAGAAGAACTGGTTCTCAATGGTGTTGAGGTTGACGAAGTTGCCCATGCTGGTGCTGGTGTACCAGCCGACATTCTGGGCGTCGACGTTGACCTCGCGCAGGAACTTGATCATCTCGTTCTGGTAGACGGCGTTGGCCTTGGCGCGCGGGGCGGCGGCAGCAGCGCTCTGCTGGTTGTCGTGAGTGCCGTCAACGGGAGCATCGACGTTCGGGAACGGGAAGCAGTTGGTGACCTCCAGGGTGCCGTCGACGTCCATGCCGACGATGGAGCCGGTTGCGGTGGTGGGGAAGGCCTGGGAGCAGTGCTTGATGATCTTCATAAGCACAAGGGCTTCGACTTGCACCGCCTGGAGCGGCGAATCCTTCAGAAGGTCGGCCATGGTGTCTGGGGATTGTGGGTTGCCGGTGTCGCGGTGATGGTGGTGTCGCGCGTCGGCGGCCCGTGGGGCAGAAATTCGTTGTTAGGCCCAGCACACGCCGCCGCAAGCTCGCTTACCGGCTCTTGGCGCCGACGACCAGCTCGACGACTGAAAAATCGCCGTGTGATCGCACTGCTTCTCCGCCATCTGAGTGAAATGGAATGCAACCGAAAGCACAAGCTGCGTCTTTTCGATGGGTGCTGCCACAGTCCCCAAGTCAGAATCGGGTTGAGACGGTTCCGCAGGCATCAAAGGCATCCAGAATCACGCCCATCAGATAGCTTTCACTGGTAGAAGATGGACCATCTGCTCCGCAGACACCATTACTTTTTGATATCATGAAACGAGATTGTCCCGAACACCGCCCCATGCTGCCATCCAAGTCTCCGAACGCCAAAATGTCTCCAAATCGCCTAACGCTTCAACCCATGCGAGCCTGCGTGACATAGCGCGCAAAGCTCATGTCGTCTCCGCCCGAAGCCCGGTCATGGTCTTCCTTGAGCGCCTTCTGGTACCTGTCCTGCAAGCCTTCATCGTCACCATCATCCTCCACAAAGTCATCCGAGTCTGCAGCCGGCCCGTCCTCGTCCTCGTCTTCATCTTCGAGGTCGCTGACCGTCTCCGGCTCTTCCTTCCTCCTTCCTTTACTCTTAGCTTTGCTGGGCGTCTTGTTCGAGGCCCCACCGACGCTCATATCCCTCATGAGCTTGTCAAGCTCCTTCTCGCGTCTCTCTTCCTTCTCCTTCACACGGTCTTCCCGCCTCCTCTCCAGCTCGGGCTTGTAGTCCCGCTCAAACTCGGCCGCCTTCTCCGTCACTGCCTCGAAGAACTCGTCTATGCCGGCACCCGTCATCGAGCTCACGCCAACAACGCTCAGATGCCGATAAAACTCCTCGAGCATCAAACTCATGCTGTTCAGCAGACTGCCCATGTAGCCGCTGCCCCCGCCAATCGGGCCCTCACCTCCCTCCATGCCGCCGAAACCGCCGCCGTTCTCCTCGTCCCGCAGCGCCGCCTGGAAGGCCTCAAAGTCCGTCATCCACTCCTTGACGAACTCGGCGTCCTTGACGTCCGTCTTGTTCATGACCAGGATCATCGGCAGCTTGGTCTTGTAGAGGATGCTGCACGCGTACAGCATGTTGCTCATGAAGGTGCTCGTCGATGCCGTGCGCGGCGTGTCGATGACGTACGCGATCACGGTGGGGAAGCTCGACGCCAGCGAGCCCAGCAGGATGTCGCCGCTGGCGCTCCACACGAAGACCTCGATCTGGCCGGGCGTGTCCACGAGGATGTTCTTGATCGGCTTGTGTTGCGGCTGCTGCTGCTGCGCGGGCTCCCCTTCGGCGGGCGGGGGAGGGGGCGCGGTGCGTTTCTCGAGCAGGGCGAGGATCTGGTCGATCTTGGTGGCGAAGAGGTTGAGCGAGGTGATGATGCCGCCGTTGGGGCCGAGGTTGTACTGCTTCATGACCTCGCGGTAGTTGACCGAGTCGCGGATGTCGATGTTGCTGTCGAAGGGCACGTTGCGCACGGCCGGGTCGAGGTTGATCACGTATGGCGGCTCTTTCTTCTGGTGCAGGTGGGCGTTGATGCGCTGCATGAAGGTCGTCTTGCCGCTGCCGGCCATGCCGACGCAGACGATGGAGACGGGCGCTCCGGACGGGCTGGTCGCCATTGTTATGCGCACGGGGTGTCTTGATCCGGTTTCGCTAGGTGATATGCTTTGCGCGCGGCGCGGAAGGGGGAGAAGAGAAGCTGGTTTGCGTGGTTCGATCTGTGGAAGATTTGGTGGTGGTGGGGGAGCTACGTCAGAAAAGTTTCGGCGGAGGTGCGCGAGATCATCACTCGCGCCCGCGGGACGAGACGCTGCCAACTCCGCCGACGTGCTCCGCATCACGACAACGCCCACCACTTCGTCGTTCAATATGGGTCTCGAAGACTTTGAGCGCGAGCTCGCCGAGAACAAGTCCCGCGAGGACTCCCACAAGCGCCGTCACCGCAGCCGCAGCAGAGACCGGGATCATCATCGCTCCAAGGTACCACAAGCTCTCCCCCGAGCAGCTACGATGCGCATCATGGCACTGCACATGCGCTGATTCGCAAACAGGATAGCGAGCGCAAACACCACCACCGACACCATCACTCCTCGAGGCACCACGGCTCCCACGACAAGGACGATGACCAGGAATCGCGCCACCGACCCAAGCGCTCACGTCGGGATGACGACGAGCACCGCTCGTCCCGGCGCCATAAAGACGACGACCGCGACAACGAACATCGTTCATCAAGGCGTGGGCACCATGACCGTAAACGTTCGAGATCGCCCCGTGCCGATGACGACGAAGACGCGCGCCCGGAGAAGGGTACCATGGATGCACCGCCTACAGAAGATATCCTCGACCAGCGACTGGCCGATGCGCAGGCGTCGAACCTGAAGCGCGACTCCTGGATGGAGGCACCCTCAGCAATGGACGTGGACTACGTGCAGCGGAGGAAGGAGCCAGAGCCGGACAAATCGAAGGCAACGAAGAAAGACTACGACCTGAAGATTCACGACAAGGAGCTGAACCAGCACTTGAGAGATTTGCAAGACGGCAAGGAAGATACCAGTGTTGTTGAAGAGCCGACACAGCACGAAGTCAAATATACCTTTGGGGACAATGGCTCTCAATGGCGGATGAGGAAGCTCAAGAATGTCTACCGTGAGGCTAAAGAGAGTGGCCGTCCTGTCGACGACGTTGCCGTGGAACGATACGGTAGTCTTCGGGATTTCGATGATGCTCGAGAGGAGGAAACGGAGCTAGAACGCCGTGCCATGTACGGCAAAGACTATGTCGGAAAAGAAAAGCCAGGCGGGGAGCTCTACCAGGAGAGGAAGATGAAGGCCGGCGTCCGCAGAGACTCGATCCCGAGTGCAGACGAGGTACCGGAGCTTCCTCAAGGACAGGTCATGCAAGAAAAACCTCCTCCCGCGAGGACTGCTGTACTGGATGCGACCTCCCTAAATAGGCTACGGGCGAAGATGATGAAGGCCAAATTGAAAGGAGGCCCCGAGGCAGCAGCGCTTGAAGCAGAATACAATGCTGCCGTGGCTGGTGCTGCCAACCGCAAAGAGCCCGAGGTGGTGGTGTTGGGTGCGATGGAGAACAGGATGCTTGCAAGCCGCAAGGGCGAAGTCAACGAGATCGATAACAAGAGAGGCAGAGAACGCGGTCTGGTGGTGGAGAACGAGGACATGAGCATCGAGGACATGGTCAGGCAAGAGCGGAGGACAAGAGGTCAGCAAGGCGGGGAAGGCTATCGTTTGGCTGAGACCATCGCAAAGGATGCCAAATTCGACGACGACCTGGATTACATGGATGAGAATGCTAGCAAGTTGGCCAAGCACGTCCAAAAATCCAACGTCAACCTTAGAAACACGGCCATCGGCGACTTTCAAAAGATGAACCGCATCTTGGACAGCTGTCCCCTTTGCCACCACGAAGACACAAATACGCCTCCGGTTGCGCCCATCGTGTCTCTGGGCACTCGCGTCTATCTCACCCTCCCCACCGAGCCCGAGCTCAGCGAAGGAGGCGCTTGTATTATTCCCATTCAACACCGCATTAACTTGCTCGAGTGTGACGACGACGAATGGGAAGAGATCAGGGTAAGTCGCCAACGTGTCCAAAAAACCCCCAGATCCCACGCCTAACATCTCAGAACTTCATGAAATGCCTCATTCGCATGTACCACGACCAAGGCCGCGACGTCGTCTTCTACGAAAACGCGGCGTCGCCGCACCGCAAGCGCCACGCCTCGCTCAACGCCGTGCCCATCCCGTACGACCTCGGCGAGACGGCGCCGGCCTTCTTCCGCGAGGCCATCCTCTCGGCCGACGAGGAGTGGACCCAGCACAAGAAGCTCATCGACACGGCCAAGAAGTCTCGCGAGGGCATGGGTCGCATGGCTTTCCGCCGCAGCATCGCCAAGGAGATGCCGTACTTCCACGTCTGGTTCGAGCTCGATGGCGGCATGGGCCATATCGTCGAGGACGCGAACAGGTGGCCGAAGGGGGACTTGTTTGCGAGGGAGACGCTGGGTGGGATGTTGGATGTCGGGCCAGAGGTTATCAAGAGGCAAGGCAGGTGGCACAGGAATGATAGGAGGGTAGAGGGGTTTAGGAAGGCGTGGAAAAAGTTTGATTGGACGAGGGTGTTGACGGAGGGGCAGTAAGGGGGCAGATGTAAAAGAACAGGTACTGGCGAAGTGGTCTGGCGTTGGTAGTAGCATACCCGAACTAATGGAGTTTCTGAGTTGAGGATATGATTTGTTCGTTACAAAGTTATTTATTCGGTGCTCACGAGGGAGAAAGACGTCGCTGAGCGGGTCATTGAGGGCCTCTCAACGAGATATACGGGAGCGTGCGTCATGGCTGGGTCAGTGTTTGAAGCTGCCCATTGGCAATGTCATTGTTGCAGAATTTAGCTACACTTCACCACAGCGTCGCTCGAGCAAGTTGTTCTAATACCAGCCCCTTCGTTACGAGCACTTAATAGGATCACAACGAGAGTGAGGTATCTGTCGATGGTACATTGGCCCAAAGCCCATTTAGAAAAAAATAATGGACCTCTCTCATTCCTTAGTTACAAAGAAGGAAAGTGATGTAGAAAATTCTGTCACGAATGTAGGCCATTACAGCTTGTGGCTCGTCTTGCTGGTGGCGAATGCTATGACCTTTGTCTATGAAAGAAGCAGGAGCAATGGTGGGTTCACTTCCGACACAAGAAGGCGCGCTTGCTTTCACAGTTCACCTACATAGCTTTTCTGTGCCTGCCCACTCGGCCCCAAATTTCCGGGTTGCAGGTCCGGTCGACTTCTCAACTCCACTTCCACATCACAGCTTCACATCCTTCCTACGCTTCTAACAGCTTGCGGCAATTGAAATCCTTGCGTCACCCTCCACACCAGACTAGCCCGTCTTCAAATTGGCTCCATAACAGCATCGCACATGGGAATTACCATCCGCAATTGCCTGAAAAGGCTAGGCATGGCTGACGAAGACCAACTGCGGGACCGCGTCCTCTCACAGCCCGCATTCCTCGCAGCCTGGGCCGAATTCCGCGACGACTTCCTCTGGGGTCCGATGGACGATAGATTCAGCGGATGCATCAACATAAACTTGATCGTCCCCGCCGTCCTGCGTGAACTCGCCAACCCCACGGGTTATTTCGACGAAACCGCAGTAGACAAGACCCACTTCACGCGTTTCGACCACTACATCCACCTGATACTGCAGGTGCTTCCTGGTCTCGCTGCGTCGCCCCAGGACATCTTCCATGGACAGATGGAAAGCGATGCGGATCGCGAAGCCTGTGTTGAGAAGCTATGCTACATGGTACACGTGCTGCGCGATCAATATCGACCGAGGAGGACGGGTGTTCTATCGCGCTGGCTTCAGAGGCATACGCCGCCGTCAAAGCATGGCGAGGTCGCGAAGATGTTTGATAATGCGCGGTACAGCGAGATAGCGTCACGGACCGCGGGCGCTTCTGTACCGGGAGAAGGAGTCACAATGGCGGATGCGATAACAATTGAAGATGAAAACGAGCAACCAGAACCCCATGGACAGGTTCCCGGCCCGGTCACTAGAGCTATGAGGGATCACAGTATTGGACAAGGGCGCGCAAGTCCATCTTCCAGCCCGACCACTTGGCAGACACAGCTTCTGTGGCCTGCTTCTCCTCTCCCGTCATTCGGACCAACACATCACCAGCACCAGGACCATCGCCAGCAGTCCCGTCAACCAAGAACAAGCCAACAAACCGACAGCCACCCCACAGCTTCCAGCACCACCAAGTCTTCATCAAACTCCAGCCTCGCCAATACAACGCCCCCAGCTCCTTCCACCACCCCCACCACTCCTCCCACCATCACAGGAACACCCAAGCGCTACCTAAAGCGCAGCCGCAGCCACAGCCCTTTATTCTCGCCCGCCTCGTACGACACCATCCCCCCCGCCAAGACCATCAGGACCGACTCGCCCTCCACCACCACCACGAACGGCGGCGGAGAAGAGCCATCGCTTCACGGAACCCAAATAAAACAAGACCCCGACCATGCAGCCACAGCCACAGACCGCAGCACACACCCACCGCATCCCGCCGATCCACAAGCAAGCGAAGCCGTGCAGAACGAAGCGACCACTACCAGGGCGGCCACCAGCGCCGGATCATCGGGAGGAGGCCGCCGGACGACAAGGACGACAAAGACTAAGACAAAGACGAGAACAAGGACGCGGATGCCGCCCCGCATCCTCATCCTGCTGGAGCAGGTGCGTGTCGCGCGGAGGGCGTACGCAAAGGCGGAGGTGGAGGCGTGTATCGACGTTGACGACGACGTCGCGGGTGACGACGACGACGGTTGGCAGGAGGCGTCGGGGAGGGAGAGGGAGAAGGAGAGGGCGGATCGGGCGATGGAGGTTTGGGGGATGAGGTGCGAGCGGGGGCTGAGGGAGCTGCGGGAGGTGGTGGCGGCGGGCGAGGGGGGGGAGGGGGAGGGGGACGTGGAGGAGGAGGTTTGGAAGGGGTTGGAGGAGGCGAAGGGCGAGTAGGAGGAGGAAAGAGAGGTTGGGGAGTGAGAGTTCACGGAGTGGGTGCGTCTTTGATGGCGGCAGGGAAAGGGATTGCTTATAGAAGGAAAAGACGAGCTTGCAGTGTTCATCGGGCTTTATGTTTGAGTAAGCTAGTCTCGGTACTTGGGTTTATTTCAATCGGACATGGGCATTTTCTCGGTCGCTATATATGATGGGTGATCATGAAATAGGCTATCACTCTCGAATGCATTGTGAAGCTGGAAAGAACTAGTATTTGTGGATAGTCCGTTGATGGTCCTGACGAACTGCCCTCTGCCCGGGCCTGTTAATGTCATTGCTACCCCTTGAAGCAAAGTGATATCGAGCTCGTCGCGTGATTTTAAACATCATCTCGACCAGCAACTAGCGCCGATAAGGGATGCACGTAGCTCTCACCCGAAGCGCGAGCGAGCTCATCATAGTACCCATCTTCCCAGGACCTATAACCATGCATCGATGCGCACATGCGCCTCAAACACTTCGACCACAGGCAAGACCCGTCAACGCGCGCATACAACCGCCTAGCTCCCACGTCTAACCATCTCGAGTCTCTCTCATACGCCTCTCGCTGTTTCTGCAGTTCCAGACTCGACGGGGGCTCGGCGGGCGTACGACGCACCATGATGTCCGGGTCAGTTGGGTTGAACCACATGAGCGAGGGGCCAAGCCCGTCGGTTTCGAGGACTTTCGGGTCGGACACGGTGATGATGAAGCCCGTGTACCTGACGCCGCTGTCGGGATGGAGGTAATCCGACATGTGTCTCATGAACGGGTGTGGCAGTAGTAGTTGCCCACGCATGTCCTCGACCCGTCTCGGCTCCGTCACCGGGTCCGGAAATTTGCAGGATAAATTGAGGGTCCCCTCGTAGTGCACCACGCAGTCATAGTCCCACCTGATGGGGTTTCCATTTCTGTTGTTCATGATGATGTCGAGACGCACACCGGCCGGAAAGGTGTCGGTGAAGCATTCCCTCCAGATGGACCGGACGAGGCTGTCGAGCTGGACCCCCGTGTAGTGCGAGGTGTCGAACTTGACGTAGACTTGGAGGGCCAAACGCGGGGGTATGTCGTGACGCGGGCCGTACCAGATGATGATGACGCCGTCGGTTGAGAACTGCCGCTGGAAGGGAGGGCGGGCTTCATCATGTGGATATTCAGTTGATGAGACCTGGGATGGTACGGACTGAGGGGGCGGTTGCGGCGCGACTCCAAAAGATGGGAGCTCCTCGGGATCAAACTCTGGAGACTGAGGGGCCGGTTGTGGCGCGAGTGTAAAAGATGGGAGCTCAAACGCCGGAGACTCAGAGTACTGAAGCGGGGGTGGATTCTGAGCCCGAGGCTGCTGTGGCTGTGGACCTGCTGGGTTGCGAGGCAGATTCTGGGCCCGAGGTTGTCGGGGCCGTGTATTTGCTGGGTTGTTGCTAGCCATGGTGATAAGTGATGGTTGGGGTGGTTGTCTGTTACGCTGGAGAAGAGAATTATGTGGCCAAAGAAAGGCAGTGCTAGCTTGGACTGTAGAAATACCAGTGGTGATACGAGTAAGATGAGAATTGATGCGTCGTGGAGAGTTTCTTTTGGGTGGACCTGAACGTAGGGAAAGAGCGACGGAGGCGTGGCCACTCCCAGCTTCGGCACGTACATGGCGACATACACATGCCACTTTCAGCGGCGCGGTCCGCTCACTCTGGCTTCGCGGAACAAGTGTGGTGGTGTTCATGAGAAGTTCACACCGCGCTTAACGCTCCCGTGAAGGTAACGCGCGAGGCCAACCCGGCGACTCTCTGGAGCGTGTCATCAGATTCTAAGCCTCGTCACTCGCGGTGGAGGGGCCCTTCTAAGGAAGGAGTCTTATTTGTTAGTGGCCATGTCGTGCTTTCCATTTTTTTCCCCCCACAGTAACTCTAAGCACCCTCAACATTGCCCCTTCTTCTTTTTTAGGATAAAGGCGTGGTAATCGAACGAGCTTTTATCATCCGAGAGATACTCCATCTGAAGGTCCCAGATGGCGTCGCGATTCAATATGGGTTTGATGAAGTGGGGCTGCCTGAAGGTGATGTAGAGGAATGCACCGTCGGGTTTGAGCACGCGAAAGACCTTAGGACATCATCAGCCAAGCCACGCGCGCAGTTTCGAGACAGGTCTGACCTCGTTGATGTATTGGGCCGTGTTCTCCTTGACCGTGTCGGGCGGGTCCCAGGGACTTCCGAAGATCATGGCGTCCAGGGTTCCCTTGTCGAAGGCCACGTCGACGGAGCCGTCGGGGACGTCGGCCATGTTCCGCACGTCGGCCCACCTCCATTCGATGCCCTTCTCCTGCTCGTGCCTGGCCGACATGAGCTCGACGACGACGGTGGAGAAATCGACGCAGAGCTGGTTCTTGTATCCGCGGACGGCGAGGTCATGCGGAACGGTCTGTGAGGCGAGAGTCGGGTCAGCGTCCTGGACGGAGCAGCGGCTGAAGGCTGCGAGCATACGCTGTCGCCGGAGCCCAGATGCAGGATGCGGGGGTTCTTGTCCGGGCTCCACGCCTCGAAGAGATGGGTCTTCAAGAAGGGCTCGAGAGCCTCGTACGATTTGAACCACTCGTGCGTGGGATGCTCGCCGTCTGACTTTGCATAGCGCTCATCCCAGTAGCCGGGCGTGGCCAGCGCTTCCGCTTCTTCAGAAGGCTTCATGTCTCGGGCGATTGGCTGCGCGAAAAAGGATGGAGGGGAAAAGCGACGCGACGCGACGCGAATTATTACAACTTTCGCCCATTTGCTCCTTATCGATAAGCCATCCCTGCAAGACATCGCCGGGTACGCGGCTGGCAGCAATTACTTGATCACTACACTCATCGCAAGTCACGATCCTCCCACCGAGCCATAAACCCGGATTCCCGGATCCATCAGAGTAGTAACACTCTGTGCTCCGCATTCACCTGGGCTCGCAGGAAGAGAACCATTGAAGACTCGCGCGACGCCGGCTTAGCGTATGTACTTGTGGCCATGAGAGCATTCTTATGACCATGTGTGGTGCTTTGATATCACACGGCGCAAGTGAAGCACCTGCCATCCACCCATCTCTCAGGTAAACCGCGCTTGCAGAGGCTGAACTCTCATGACTGAACGAAGAAAGGCACATCCAGGAAACGCAGTGGTCAAAAAGATACTCTCTCCCTCTTTTTTCTTCTTTTATCAAAGCTTTTCGCACGCTCAGCCCAACTTGCTCCCCACGTAAAATGTCACGTGTGAACGTGGGTGGGGTGGACCGCTACATCGTCTGCACGCGGGAAGGGAAAAGAAAGATGTAGAGCCCCCATCCAGAAGCTGAGGGACAAAAAAGAAGTAAACACCACCATCGTCGAAGAGAAGAAACGTTGAACGCATAAAGGAGGTGAGAAAGAAAAAGAAAAAGAACAACAAAAGCTAAAACACCCTCCTCCTCAATCCTCTCTCCCTTTTCAACCCCCTTCTTCCCCCAACCATCCAAATTTACCCTACCCATCCCCCCCAAAACTGCTCGCCCTGACCCTCCTCCCCGAATCCACAACCCCCATCGACATCTGCAACCCGACCGCCGACCCCTTCCTCCCGCCATTCGTCACCATCTGGCCTCCTCCTCCTCCTCCTCCTCCATGCTGCTGTCCATGTCCGCCGCCATGTTGCTGCTGCTGCCCCTGCTGCTGCTGCTGATTCCCAACCGCGACGTGGTGCTGCTGCTGGTGCCCGCCCTGCACGACGTCCATGGGCTTGCGCCTGCGCACGAGCTGATAGCCCCTGTCGAGCTCGACCTCGATCGCGCACCTGACCTTCAGCGCGCCGACGGCGGGCCACACGCTGCGCTCGCCCCTCAAGATCCAGTACTCGAGCGACTCGCGGGTGGGGTACTCGAGCAGGCGCCAAAAGTCGCGGGGGGTCAGCTCGGGCACGAGGGTGAGGCTGGCCCCCGGGACGGTCTCGTCGAGGAGGAAGCGGCGGATCCCCAAAGGGAGCAGCCCCACGCTGTCGAGCTGGTTGAGGCGGTGCTGGACCTCGAGCACGACGAGGCGCAGGATGGGCATGCTGAAGCGCCACTTGCCGTCCTGGCGGGGGTTGGGGTGGTGCAGGTCGGAGCGGAGGAAGGGCACGAGGTAAGGGCGGGCCTGGGAGACGATGAAGTGGTTGACGTTGAAGAGCTCCGCGATGCGGTGGAGCGGCGACTCGCGGTCGTTGGGCGACGACTGCGAGTACTGCGCGTGCGTCCAGGGCCGGAAGGTTGCTTCCTGCGCCGACGCCCACGGCACCACCCGCCCCGTTTCGTCCTTGCAGAGGAGCACGACGGGGTGGGCGGCGGTCGAGGTCGAGGCGTTGGACGCGATGGCGGCGGACCAGATGAGCTGGAGCGATGGTTAGCGGAGGGTCGGGCGTGGCAGGCGTGGTGTGCTTCGGGGTGTTGTTGAGCAGGACTTACGACATTGGGGGCGGTGAGGTAGTTCAGCAGGTTCGGCACGCCGCCGCTGGTGGTCGACACGGTGATGTTCAGCACCCTCTTCGTCTTCGCGTACGCCTCGTCGAACGTCATGTCGCCGACGTTCGTCCTGACGCACTCCTCCAGCGCCCGAGCATCCAAGAGGTACCCTTCGCGAGCCAACCGGATCAGACGTCTCAGCAGCGTGGCGCCCCACCAGCTGCCCTCCTGCAAACATGATTCCAGGAAATCCTGCTTCTCGTGATCTCTCTCCGCCTTGCTCCTCGCGAACGCCGTCACGTCGATGCCGTCGCCGGTCAAGAACTCCAGGACCTCATCCTCCGTGTGCACGCATACCAAGGCCGCGATCAGCGCGCCCGTGGCCGTCCCCGCAATGATGCGCGGCAGCAGACCGCGCAGATGCAAGGCCTTGACGACGCCCAGGTGGCAGAGACCAAAGATGGCGCCGCCCTGCAGGACCAGGGCGCTGCGGCCGAAGGCCTGGCGCGTGTCGTGCAGCACGTCGAGCTTGGCCTGGTTGGTGAGGCCCAAGTCGGAATTGCCGGTGCTGCCGGGCGAGGTCGGGTAGGTGGTGACGTACTCGATGGCCAGGGCGACCTGAGTGATGTAGTCCTCGATCAACAGCTTCGTGCCCGCATACGCGCGATTGAACAACCGCGGCGCCGTGATGTTGCCCAGGTTCCGCACCAGGCCCGACCGCAGCAGGTTCACCAGCCCCAGGATGTCATCCTCTTCGCGGGCGTCGATGATGGCCTGTAGCCGTTCGTAGATCAGACGGTAGTCGTAGTACTTGCTGGTGGGGTTCTGGCGCCTGGACGCACGACGTCAGTTGGCGTCGAGTCGGGGACGGGGAGAGGGTCGAGCAGTACCATAGATCATATCCGAGCACTTCGTCAAGCTGATATGCCGAAGCCTCCCATTCCTCGAAGATGCGTGCGTCGGCGAGGGTCTCTAGCAGGGCATCGCGCGGCGACTTCGCCCGCCACCAGGCATACAGACGCTTCACGGCATTAGCCATGGGCAGAGCGGGCGGCGGGAGACGGGGCGGGAGACGGGGCGGGAGACGGGGGCGGCAGCGGAGCCAAAGCAACAGAGGACAGCGACTTGTGGTTCAAGCGGCAGCGGGGCCGTTGGGGTGGAAGGGCGGGACACGAGGCAAGGCAAGAATGACGCACCAGCTGCCAGAAAAAAGCGACCTCAAGAAAGACGCGAAAAATGGCCTTGAGGAGGCGGAAGAAGGTGGTGGGCGGGCGCTGAGCCGAAGGCTGCGGCGGGTGCTGGTGGTGGTGGTGCTTTGGGTGTGACTGCGACATGGCCAACAAGCTGAACTTCGGCTTATTCGCGACGTGATTAGCGCATGATTGCTCGGGGTCCGGACGCTCTGTGCATGCCTCAGGCCGTGCTGGATCGGGCGGAGGGCTGAGACATCGGCTGAATGAACACGTTGTGGGGTGTGATAGCACCAGCAGCCCGAGGTAGGTGAAAGTGGTGAGAGCTGCGTTCAACGTTCGTCACTTTCACATGCCAGACGAAATGAACCACACCGCCCGCGCCGATCAGGAGGCTGGATCAACGTAGCGCCGCACTCCCGCCAAGCTCTGGAATGCCGCCCGGTTTGCCCAAAAGAGGTAATCGACTTGACAGACGTTCGGCCGTGCTCCAGCTGCTGCCGCCTGCGCTGTCGTGCAGTCCTGCTACGCCCTCCTCAGCCGGACCTAACCCGTTTCCCAAAACCGCGTGCTCCAAGTACCGCTTGGCACCAATTAAGTATCATCAAAACAGTTCCCGCAGTATCCTCGCAAGCTCGTCGTCGTGCCCGAACACAGCATTCACAATCTCCGCCCCAGCCTGCGGTCCTCCCTCCCCACCACTGGCCGACATGAGATATCCGTTCTGCGGCGCGAACCCCGTGCTCGCCGCGAACCCACCCGCCGCCTCGAACAAGCTCGTCAGGTCATTGGCCATCCCGTTCGGGCTCTCGCTGGCGCTGCCACCGCCACTGCCGTTTCCGGCGGCACCACCACCAGAGCCTTGCCTCTGCCCTCCATTCGTCGTTCGGCCGCCATTGTTCCCAAACAGGAAATTCTCATCCACCGGGTGTCCAGCCAAGCCGGCCATGGCGACGGCCGCCGACGAGTGCGGGTCTGTTGCATCCACAGCTACTACATGGTTACCCCCACGCAGATTCAGACCGAGCTTGGGTCCCACCTCCTTGAGCACCTTGATGGTTCGCCAAAGCCGCTTGCTGACATATGAGTTCGCCGATAGCCCGCGCACCAGGTCAAGAGCCATGTAGAACTCATCCCTGCAGCATTCGCTGAACTGACCCGGTGCGTGCGACACGGCAAGCAAGAGGACGGCGAGGGCTGAAATGAGAAAGTAGTGGAACATGACTTGATGGCTGCGGTAAATGTCTGTCGTCTGGTTGGTATGGGTCAGCACGTTGATTGTGTCTTTGGCCACGTCAACCACCGTCTGCGCGGCCGTCATGTCTTCCATTATGGATGATGTCGTGTGCATGACAGGGCGGTATATGAGAATGCGCATCTGATTGGCCCGAAGGTACAGCAGGATACGGAAACGATGTATGCTGCGGGTTACCGGCTGCTGGTCCTGAGGATTGCTAGATGACGGGTGTATGTACTTGAGAGCCAGCGGAATCGATCGATGCCATTGTATGACCTGGTAGTCAAGGTACCCGATCTCTTCCTTGCTGATTGGTGCATTATCACTATGCGCTATCGATTTCCACACGCGGGATCCAATGTTGCTGTAGGTGACCATGCAATTGAGGTAGGGTGTGGCATCGTCCTGAGTCGGGTCAGATGATCGCCTCCAATGACCCGCAATGACTTGACTAACCGGCTTTGGCACGTTGGGATCGATGTCCGTGTCCTCAAAGGCAAACGGCATACCCGTGCCGAATGACCACCTTCGATCGAGCACGTACACAGACCAGAACAGCCGAATTGCGGCAGCGCGCTCGTCTTCCTCGGTGAAGATTGTGTTGTACGTCTCACGGCGATGAAGACCAAGCTCCATGCATAGGCGTGCTGCCAGGCCGATGATGCGCCAAGCCGTATCCTCTTCATCTCGGTGGAAATGATACATGCCCTTGGCTAATTAGATGCGAGCAACATGGAACAGCAAGGGCCGACTTACGGTCAAAGTCAGCATCTTAATCCCCCGAATGTTCGCTGGGGCTAGCAAAACGGCCTCGACATTGGCCCGGATGCTCTGGAACATGGCCGTTCCTAGCTCGCTCTTTCCGCTCCCTTCCAGAATCAACGCAGTACCCAGCACTAGTTTCAAAATGATTGTTTGATCGTCACTGATGGCGTCGGCACCGGGGAACGACACTTCGACCAGGCGCGTCCTATGCGCCGCCTCCATAAACGTGTATAGCAGAGTCGCATGCCGGATGGTAGCCTCAATGTCCAGCACCGGATACATCAACCCCATTTCCTCATGCCAAACATGGCACAGCCTGATAGCCTCATCCTTGTTGATTGCCCACATGGGATCTTTTGTAGTATGCAATACTGGCTTGTTCGTATGCTGGCTGGGAGGTGGAGCGAGCGGCGCCAGGCGGGGACTATCGAGCGGGGTGGCGTCTTGGGTGAAGGCACCATCGTCGGCATTCTCATCGGTGGCGGTTATGCCTATCGACTGCAGGTTTGCTTTCGCGACGTCGAGATTGAAGGCATTGCTGGTGGGACCGTGGAAACGAGGGTGTTTGGGTTGTTGTTGCTGCTGTTGCTGCTGCTTGGCACGGCCGTTGTTCTGCGGACCCTGGACTGAGGCCTGGGAGATGGACATGGAGCGCGCGTATTGAGCATCGGGGAAGGGCGAGGCGGCGGAGCCCAGGACACTGGCATCGACGTGGTTGCGCAGGCTGTTCAGGTTGTTGAAGAGGGTGTCGACTTGGTCCTGCAGGGCCTGGATGTGCGCGTCCATGCGCTTGAACTCGCTGCGGGCAGCGGGTCAGCAGGGTGCAAAGCGGATCGTAGAAGGGCAAGGGGACGCACTCGGAGTCCTTGAAGTTGTTGCAGCAGTTGGGGGCGTAGGCACACTCCAGCTGGAGGTTTCCGCAGCGCTGGCACGGTGTCTGGCCATTGCACTTGATCTTGCGGCTGGGACCCGGTCAGCACGTCCGAGCAGGCAGCGGGCGGGAGGTGGTACCGTTTGCACTCGTTGCAGGCGATAGAGATGTAGCGGTTGCGCTTGGCTCGCTGCTGGGTGGGATGGGCGTCGGAGCCGTCGGGATTCTTCCGCTTGCCTCCAGGCTGGGCGTCGGGCGTGCTACCGTCGCGATTGGGGCTCGCACTGGGGGCGCCGTTGGTGCTCATGCTGGGGCGCTGGTCGACTTGGTGCGCGCAAGGTCGCTGGGGTTGCGCGCCTCAGTGGGCGTGTCCTCGTCTGTCTGCGGACTGAGCGTGGCTGCTGCGGCAAGCGTCGATCTCACCATGGGGAAAGCGGAGGCGCTCCGCCCTTGCTCCCCTCTCTATCCGAGGCCAGACGTCTGCACCAATCAGCGCCTGCTCAAAATCAATCACATCAACACCAGAGACTCCCGACGAGAGCATCCAGTGACAGCTCTTCACGCACCATATCCAGCATTTGCATTCATGATGGCATCTAAGAAACACCCCTCTCCCTCTCCTTCAGCCTCCAGCCTGTCGAAGTATGAAACACCAAAGAAACACCCCTCACAACAGCTGCTTTGCGGTCCTGAGAAGACCGATTCCGCGGTCAAGCAGGATCCCCAGGGCAAGTCTCAATGCTACACGCAGGTTGGTTGCCGTGAGCCCTCTCTGGCGTGCCGTCCACCCTCCAATCACGAGTACCAAGGCCGTCAGCACGCGCAGGCCGCGCTGCAGGTACAGTTTCAGCAGCCCCTTCTTCGTATACGTGATGTTCCAGTCGGACCACACGGGGAACATGCACCTCAGCCCGAACCAGATCTGTGTGTACCTGCATAGCCCTCACGTCAGCTCCTGTGTGCTTCACTCACTCCCCCACAACCAATCGGAAGACACTTACGGATAAACCGTCGAGTTCCATCCCGTCTTCTTGTCGAAATACCAACTGTTGCAGCCGCCGGCGGCAAACACCGTATCTTTCAGGCTCCGCTGCACATCTCTGGTGTAGTCCTCCTCAGCCTCCTTCTTCACCTCTACCGTGTCGGCGTCGCCCCGCACGATGGGCTTGATGAACTTCAGCGCATAGTTCACCATATTCTCCGTCGCCAGAATGACCGAGCTGTGTCCAGTCGCCGTGTTCGGCCCAAAGATCATGAAGAAGTTCGGGAAGCCATCCATCGCGGTGCCCTGGTACGCCTGCGGGCCTCCACGCTGCTCCATCACCTCGACCAGGTCCTGCCCGTCGCGACCGACCACCTTGAGCGGGTGCAGCCACTTCGTCGTGTCGAAGCCGTTGGCCATGACAATGATGTCCGCCGGAATCGTCCTCTCTGCCTCCTCCTCTTCCTTCTCGGAGCGCTTGGGATAGACGCGCCCAGGCCCCAACGTGACGCTCTTCTCATTCACCGCCGTCAGAGGTTGCGTCGTGAGCTCGATGCGCGAGTCTTTCAGCCCGGGGAACCAGGTCGCGTCGAAGATGCGGCGCTTGCAGCCAACCCCATAGTCTGGCGTCAACATCTCGTGATACTTCTCCGGGACCGTCTCGCGCATGTGCTCCAACAGCTTCCCCTCCAGCTTCTTTCTCTCCTTCTCATTCCACTCCCCGTTCTTGAACAGCCGAAAGTCATACTCGGCGCCCGCAGCCGTCAGCAGTCTCAGCGTGCGCTCAAGCCCCGGCACATACGCCATCAACGCCGGGCTCCAGCGCTCCCACCACTCGTCACCGCCCGGCGGCTTCCCCCTGGGGACGACCCACGGCGGCGAGCGCATAATCTGCGTCACGCTCTTCGCGCCGAACTCCTCCTTGACGAGCTTCGGCACCAGCTGCGCGGCGCTGCACCCCGTCCCCACCACCACGACATCCTTTTCCCTCACATCCACACCGTGCTCCCACCTCGCCGAGTGGAACACCCTCCCCTCGAACCTCTCCCTCCCCGGCACGCCCTCCTCGGGCCAACCCCTCGGCTCCACCAACCCCCCCACACAACTCACCACCACCTTCGCCCTCACCCTCTCCTTCCGCACCACCACCGCCTCCTCCCCCCCCTCCTCCACCAACCGCTCCCGATCCTTATAACTCAAATCCCCCACACCCCGCCTCAAATGCCACAACTCCACCTCCCACACCCCCTCCCCCGCATCCCACCTCGCAGCCTTGACCTCGCAACCGCACGTCACCTTATCCGCGACGCCCCACTCCTCGCACACGCGCTCCAGATACTCCACCACGTCGGCGCCGGGGGGGAAGAATTTCTTCCACGCGGTGAGGAAGGGCGCGAAGGAGAAGGAGTAGAAGACGCCGGGCACGTCGCACGCGACGCCCGGGTAGCGGTTGATCCACCACGTGCCGCCCACGCCCGACTGCCGCTCCACGAGCCGGAACTGGTCGAAGCCGTGGCCGAGGCCGTCCTTGAGGCGGCAGGCGGTGGCGATGCCGGATTCGCCGGCGCCGATGATGAGGACGGGGTAGTAGCTGTGGAGGTGGGGGTAAGGGTTAGTGTGTGAGTGTGTGTCGGGTTCTTTTTGGTTGGTTGGTTGGTTGGTTGGTTGATTGTTTGTTTTCTTCTTCTTTTGGAGTGAAGGGGAGGAAGAGGGGCGGTTCAATGTGGCTTTAAAGCAAAATGACTAGGAGGGTTATGGGTGTTTTGGGGAGAGACGAGGAAGTGTAATAGAAAATGGTGCCGTACGTATACGCGTCCGGGCCGTAGCCGCCAGCGTGGTGGATCACGCGTTCATCGCCTTTGCGCATCGTATATAGCTTTGCCGCCTCTCTTTCTGTCGTCCTTGACTAGTCTTCTGTCGGGCTCACTCGTCGATCGCGAGTAGGTTGGGCTCGGGCGCTTCGGGAGGGGTAGGGAGTAGATTGGCACTCAGGTGCGGGCCTCCCTCCTGACTAATGATGATGAACGCGGACGCAGAACTGTGTTTTCTTCACCCAGTTCGCTGGTGCGACTAAGGGCTATAGCGGACTAGCGGATAGGGCACACAGGTGGTCGACTCCTCGGATCAACGCTCACTCCGGATACCAAAGATTGAGATGGACAAGAACAGCAGAGACGATGCCGTGAAGTGCTGCCACTAGAAGTGTCTGCTGCGTCGAGGAGGAAGAAAGAAAGAGGAACAGACACGAGAATCTCAAAGGAAGTAAGCAGCGTTGCGTGGCCCACAACACGGAAGTTGCTCACGTTTTCCCGAGGTGCCACCCTCCCATCTCACTGGCCTAGGTACGCCCTTCCCCGCATCGCCCGTGCCCGAGGTGAAAGGGAGGGGGAAGGACGGGGTGGGGGCAGAAACTATCACAGAACATGCGCACGAAGAAATGGACTTTTACTCTGATGCGCACCATGGTGGTGAAGGGGAAGACCATAGCTCTTGCAGGAACATATAAAACAAGCAGAAGCCTTCCTTTACGTGTTCTAGTGCAGCCTGCATCCCGACAAAGCATTCCCAACTGCCATTCCAGACGGGACGCATTCGAGCGGAGCGCTAAACCCTAACCCGCACCACCAGAACCAGACCTTGGTGCATACCACGTCCACCCCATACCATCCTTCCCTTGAGGGCAACAATTGACGTTGTGCCGCGCCGCGTCGCTGCAGCACCACCACGAAGAGGCATCCATCATGCATGGCTTAGCAGCAGCGGGGCCGCGCGCGCAGGGCAAAACCGCAGGGGCAACCCACTAGGTACTGCTTTCCCGGCTCAAACGTTCGGACATTTTGCCGTCGAGTCTCACACCCCGCGCGCCAGCATGAAAGCGGGAAAAAGTAAACAATCGTGAGACTCTTTCCCCCGCCCTCCCCTCAGTCTGAAACGATACACACCCCGGCAAAAAGAAGGACGGGGCGTATGTACATATACGGCAGCCGCAGCCAAGACTATTTCGGAACCAAGCTGCTCGAAGCAGGGGGCCGAAAAGCAAAAAAGGGCATGCAGAAAAGAAGGAGGAGAAGAAGAAGCATGATGCGAGACCGGGGGAAGCGAAGTAACACAGAGACGACGACGACAACAACAACAACAGAGACAAGACAGGAAAAGCAGCGCAAGCCGAAATTCCCGAGGGTCTAGTCCTAAACAAAAAAAAAAGAGGGGTACCTAGGTATGTTGATGCCATGTGTGCGTGCGTGTCGCCAAGAAAAGCGGGGGATGGGACGGCAACGGCGAAGCGCTGGTGGCTTGCGGCACCAGTGTCAGCGCGGGTTTATGCTCTCATCATCAAGCCACTCTGCATGGCTAGTTGGAACCGGTGCTCTCTCTCTCAGCTCCAAGCTCTCAAGGCAACCAGCCAGCCAGCCAGCCACATTAACTCTGGGTCAAACGGATCCTATAGCGTTAGTGGCGGCAAAGGAGCGAAGGACTGACACCATCGGTGGAGCAAAACAGCGACGAGATAGGAAAATGGAGCATCAGAAAAAGCGGGACGAGACAGGAAGAGGTACCGAGTATCCGGTCGGTGGTTCGTTGGGGGCCAAAAGCATCATTTTACACACGCATCCGCCTCTTTTTTATTTTATTTTTTTCCTTCTTTCAGCAGCAGCAGTAGGTACTCTCAAGCAGCAGGGAACAGGGGTGATGGTTGGTGGCCGGGAGGGCCCCGGGAAAGGAAGGAGGGGCCATTAATCTTGATTGTCCCATCATCATCATCATTATCATCATCACCACCACCACCACCACTCGTGCGGCGCGCCGGTGTGGCGAAGTGATTGTAAATTACATGCAGCGGCGGCAGCTGCAGGCGAGAGTCAAGCACCAGCGGATGCTAGCCCCGATTGCCGCTAGCCCGGATGGCCTAGCAAATGGATGGGAAAGCAGTGCGAGAAACGGGCATGATTAGCGCGTCGGCGACGAAAATACGATGATGGGAAGACGCGGATGATGCTGGGAAAGTGGGAAGGGATGCGGCACAGCGGGACGCTCTGGTTAGCGCGCGGGCGCGGCTGTCGATGATGATGAAATGCGGAGGCGGCGGTTCTCTCTCGTGCTGCTGAGGCGGTTTGGAAAGGCGAGCGGCGAGCGGCGAGCGGGCCTGCTGCTGCTAGCTAGCTAGCTCGCTCTGGTCCTTCTACCCCAGCCGGCGGGCTCGTACTCGGCAGATCTGGTACGTACCGGTATCCATGGTTGCTTTTATTACCTATTGCCAGGTCGAGGCCGGGCCAACGCCCACGTTGTTCCGCCGTTCGGAGCGGTTCCGAACGTCACAGATTCTAGCGCGTCGTGGCGTGGCCCCGTCAGTACCACGGCCGCAGTCGGCCGAGGCAGAAGGAAGAGAGACGGCCAAGGTGGAAGACTACTACTTACTCTACGCGCTCGTAGCACCCGAACTGGAAAGGCACGGCCATGCGCCTTGGATGATGTACGCGAGGCGCGTCGATCACACACGCAAGACACAGACGATCGGATCACCAGCCCTCCCGCCCCCGACCGCGGGCTTGTTTTGGTGTCACGTCTCACACGCTGGCGTTTTTTTTTTGATCTGGCGCCCTTGTTGCGCCCTGCACGCTCGCCAACACGCCCCAATCTCGTCGGCGGCAGCAGCGTTGGACGAGACAGTTGCGCAAGGGAGACGGTGTCAGTTATATTGTCTGCTCCCCCAACCCTCTCTCAGCTGCGCGTCAGCAAGGCCCGCGCTCGCTCAGCTGGGGTTGCCCGCTGCATGAGTCGCCGCCGCCGTGATAGAAACAAGGCACCGGCCGTGCCTGCCCCTTTGGGATACCCTGCTTGCCAGCTTGGGAATCCTGCCACCTGCCGTGAACCCGTGGGCCCGCTGCTGCTGCTGCTGCTGCCGTCCTGCTGCGCTGCCACGCCCGCTGCCTGTTTTGCAAGACACCACCCAGTACTGCTTTGCACCGACCTCTTCCGTGATATGTGTGTATAGAGGCATGCCTATTTATATGCTATACCGACCGTGACTCGCGCGCGTGCAGAGTCCCGCTAGACCCGCCGCCCGTTGTTTCCTTTTTCCTACAATACCAGATGATCCAACCAGCCCAATGCTCCGTATCCCAAATCTCGAGACCCACTTGCCGTTCCGTGCCTGCCCGACCACGGGAAGACTGAAACTCGCCATCCGCAGCGACATCCCGCAACTGACAAATCCCCATGTAACCCGCTGCTGTCTGCAAGCCGGCCGCGCTGCCGTACCGTGATATTACCAGCTCCATAGTGCCGCGGGCCAAAAAAAAACTGAAGAACCAATGATATGACAATGGTACAAAAGGAAAAAGAAGAAAGAGAAAAGAAAAAAAAGGGCAAACGACCCAAGTGCAATCCCACATCATCTTTTTGTTGTGCGTCCAACTGGGAAGAAATGAATCATACTCAGACCCGCGCCTGTGCCTACCAGAGGTCGCTTTTTTTTGAGGGACCCGAGCCGGAAGATGATGCTGAGCATCCAACGCTCGCACACACAAGAACCGGCCAAACCTGAAAAACCTGATGCCGTTGCACACCCCTTACCACGCGTTGAAAAAGACTCGCTCAAATGCCGCAAGACCAAGGAAATGGAAACAATGAACCCAATGAAATAGGTACACAAACACGCGCTTCTTCGCCGCTGAGGAACCTGCAAGGAAAAGGCTGTGATGATGCCGACGTGAACTTTGGAAACTTCTCGCTTTCCCGGAACAGCATCTAAACAAAATCAAAGAAATGATGGTTGGCCCGTATGGATGTCCTACTCCCTGCTCCTGCCTTTGTGGGGGAGTCGTGGTTGGGGCGGATCGTGGCCATCGGGCTTGTATTGATAATCCAACAAGTGAATTCGTTTTCCTCCGCGTCCTTCTTCCACGTCCAAGTGTCGTAGCCGTAAACTCTACATGACCGTCATTAACTTCATCTGTTGCGTTTTGGCCACCAGCTCGCTGTCCTGCGCGTCGAACGTGTTGTCGGAAAGAGCCATTCGCGACCGGGTTCGGCTTCGGCGTGAAGGAGACTCGTCAGATTGATCGGCCAAGAACCGACGGAAGGGAGAGTTGCCCGTGGTTGGGGTCTGGACCGGGCTGGAGTAGAGGTGCTCTGTTTCACGCAGAGCCGCCTTAGCCTGGTGCATGAGACCGTTGACATAAGGCACAATGTGTTTGAGAGTCCCAGTATCAAACGGAACCTTCTTGGATGGAGTGCCTGGGTCTTGAGGGAGCGAGTCCGCGTTCCTGCGTTGTTGGAGCGCCTCGATTACCGATTGTGCAACGACTTCAGAGTTCTTCCGCGGACGTGTAGCAGCCATCACAGTCGGCGTGTCTGGCGTCTTAGGTGTTGGAGAGGGACTGCTGAAGATATCGTCTGCCGTGGTTAGAATCGACTTTCGTCTCCCGTGAATACCGACTGAGAGCGCAGGAGAAGCACCGTCCCTGATGCTATCTTTCGCGGCTTGAAGGAGGGAACGCCCTCTTGCACGACCCGAGGCTGGCGTGCCAGCCGGAGGCTCATCGAACGCGTCAGCGTCGAAACCAGGAGATGACGGTGCCGAGAGATGCGGCACAAGTGGCTCATCAACTTCCTGATCTGCCAAGTCGATCATAGCCTCCACTTGCTGCCACATGTTCCTGTAAGCGCCTTCCAAGATGTTAAGACTCGCGGCTCGTGCCCGTAGATCCTTCAGCTCCTCGATTAAGAGGCCCCACTCTCGGAGCAAGCCGATGTTGGCAAGCACATTGTTCTGCTGCTCCCTGATGCTTTTCGGCACAAACATGGCCGACGGACTCTCCACTTTTTCGTGACGTGTTTCGGCCAGGCCATCTGCACAGTCGCCAAAATCGAAGTCGTCGTTCCAATCCTCAGTGACACCCTTGCTACCAACGCCCCAGGTGCCGAATTTGTTAGTCATTCTCGGGTCTCTTTTCCCAGTTGCGTCTGGAACGACTGGGACGCTCTGGCTGCGTGCATGAAGGCCGCTCGGCACCCGTCGACCCACTGAGCGGCTGCCTCTGCTGTTGGCATCCTTCTTGCCGTGGACCGTGTTGGGCCGGGGCGGCGTACGGTTTCCACAGCTCCGGTCGGCGAGCGCAGACTCGGACCAGTCGAAAATGCTGCTTTTTGCGTCTCTGTCAAAGGTTTCGGTAGATGGCCGTGGTGCTGTGGAAATTGAGACCGGTCGCGAATCCAAGTTAGTAAGAATCGGATGACTGCGCCTAATAGACAATTGAGTAGCATGATACGTGCTGGGGGTCTTTTCACTGCTCAATTCCCACAGGCCGCTGTCATCTTCGTCAAAAGACCACCGGCCATCGTCGACTTCGTCAGGGCTGGTGTCCCATTCCAGTGCACCGAGACTGAGTGGGTTCGGTGGTGAGGACGGAATGTCGGAAGAAAACCGGGAAGTACTACGGGGGGCGGGGGTCGGAGAGCCTCCGGTCCCATTTCCACGGTCGAGCACTATCGAGCGAACTGGTGTTGAGAAGTTGCTCTCCTCTTCCTGGATGGTGGAATGTTTGTCCAGTTCTGGGAAGGTGCCCTTGGGCAGCAGGTCTCTTAAGGGCGAGACCTTGTTCTTCAGGGGCCGGGGCGATTCGTCGAAGATGGTTTCAATGGTCGGCCCGCGGGCGCCTGAGGATGCTCGGGTGCCTCTCGTGCGCATCGAATCGAAAACGGTGTCACTCTGGAGATCTGTATCGGACTCTTCTCCGGACCAGATGCGCACCTCGGAATCGGAACCGACCAGGGTCGAAGCTTGTTCGGATGGGGTAATGGAGTAACGGGAATGGCGGATTGGCGCAGAGGAGGGAGAGGCAGGGCGATGACTGAGAGGGCGGGCGGTCGGAGGGTTGTATCCATGCTGTGACGGAACACGGGAGGGGATGTGATTGGAGGTATTACTCAAAGACACAGTGCGTGACTCGAAGGCAGGCGAGGATGACGGCCTGCTCGACTCGAAACTGACGTCGGCGATGTCGCCGGTGTGGCCGCTGTACGAAGAATGGATGTCGCGGAGCGAGTCGACGGTGCCGCTCGCATCTGTCGGCTCCGGCATTGCGTCAGCCTCGTTGTAGGTCCTTGCGCCCGAGCCCTCTCGGGTCGAGGCAGTGGTTGCAGTGGAGAGGCGGCTGCCGGCGCGGGCAACGCCGTCGGCTGACAGGCGACGCCGACGGTGCGGCTTCCTCGACAGCGGGACATTTCCGAGGATGCCACTAAAAGAGAAAGGGCGCCGGGTACGATCATCCCCTTGGCCTGTTTCGGGCGATGCAAGTGCCTCTGCGGGGGTTTCAGAAATAGACGTGGGGCTGAGGGGCGGCAGCTCGACGAATGCTGGAGTCTGCGCTCGACTCCGGGCGCCGTCGCTGTCGCCGGCCAGGCTGGTAGCGTCCTCCATTTCCAGTGTGGGAGCCGTGACCGTGTTGGCCAGAACCAGGGTCGGGTGATACTTCTCGCTTGGGACTATCCGCGTAATAACCTTCGGATCTCCAGACAATCCTCGCCGTTTAGCGACGGTACCCTTGGCCGAGAAGAACTGCTTCCAGCGGATCTCCGGGTCGGCACGGTGGAGGCTGGTGGCGGCGGCGCTATCAAGACGACCTGGCGGCACATCCATGAATGCCGGGCGCGATCCCAGCGTCCTGGAGCGCTGATGACTCGTGGCCGGCCGTCGCAGCGTTGGTCGCGACGAGCTGGGCGGACGTATTTCAGGACCGGCCGAGTTGCGTACGGATGTCGAGCGCTTTACAAGCTTGTTTGGCGGCAGAGGGCCAGACGGCACGCTTCCTGCAATCATGGGCGCGCTCGAGCCGTCCACGGAGAAGGCCATGGACCCGTTCGAGTACGACGGCGATGCGGGGCTTGCGGTGGAGCGCGTCGAGCTCTGCGAGATGGACACTATCGAGAGGCGCTTCACCCACGACGGACGCGCACGCGTGCTGCTCTCCCGGCCGTCGACTCCGCTCGCGTCCTGCTCCAGCATCGACAACCTCTTTCCGGCCTCCTGTGCGGCGCGTAGCCGGGAGCTGTCGCTTTCGAGCGTCAGGCCTCGTGGTCGTCGCATTGGCGCCCGCTCATTGTTTGGGCGCGTGTCGAATGCGCCGTCCAGCGGTGAAGAGGCCAGCAGCGGCGGCGGCGGTTGCGCAGCGGCGGCGGTATGCGGCCGCGAGGGCAGCTGGAACTCGACAGCGCGCTCGAAGGTGGCGGCGGCGTTCTCTCGGGCACTGGCAAAGGACGTTGGTGGTTGCTGCGAATCTGGGTGGCCGAGAGCCAGGCCGGCGGAGGATACGCCGACAATGGTGGCAGAAGCGCACAGCTATATCACAGAAGCGAGTCAGCCATTGACGATGGCAGCACGTCAAGATTCACACAGGGCGCAAAAGAGACAGGCGGCATGCGCTCGGGCGCAGGAGGGCACGCCGCAGAAAAGGCAGTGTTGACGAGACGGACGGTGGATGGGGTAGTAGCTACCGTGGGTACTGTTTTCATGCTTCCAGGTTACTCAGCCCGCCTCCAGCTGCAAGGCACAAGAGAAAGGAGACTCGTGACGGCGTGGGTCGTGGTCATTATGGCATAGCGGAGGGAGAGGGCACCATGGGAGGGATGCCGCAGCTGGCCGCAGTTCAGAAGCGAGCGGCGGAGGGACAGCTGCGCTGGCCGGGGAGACCAAGGAGTTCACGGACTATAGGTGCTTGCGACTGTTAGAGTGGGCAGCGCGCCGGTAGGATCGACGGACAACAGTTTGGGCGGCGGCTTGATGGGTCAACCTCGTAAGCGAAAGCGTGCTAGGACCGGGACATGGATTCTCAGGTGGAATGTCAACAACTGGCTCCTGCTCAGCAGTTACTAGTGGGTTAGTATGGCAACGCCCGCCCGTTACACGGCGCTGCCCACGCTGCGCTTGGCCGCGGTGACGCTGCTGGCCCGCCGCGCAGGCGCTTCGGTGCGCAGGATAAAAAAAAAAGTCAGGGACAGCTGCTGCTGCATGCTGCCCTCGCAGCACACAGGGTCTCCAGCCAACCGTGGTTGAGGCCGTCCGCTAGCCCCGAGCTCCCACCTGCCATCGAGTGGGCGGCGGTCTCAGGCAACGTCCAATGCCGTGTCCGACGGCGGCTGGCAGCGCTACCCGGTCGAGGGGACGGTGCACCTGTGCAGCGCTCACCGCTAAGCCAATCGTAGCTGAAAATCTCCCATGAAGATCCGGGCGAGCCCACAGCTGAGCGGCGGCTGGCTGCCAGCCAACGCACCCGCGCCCTCGCGCTCTGTCAGATGCGGCCTTGCAGATGAGGCTGGTTCTGCGGCACAGCTAGCCCGCCGGCCCTGCGCTTGTATCAGAAGCACGGCGGCTTCGCAGGCCTGCAGCAGCATGCCGTGGACAAGCACACAGAATCCCCGTCCAGAAGGCGCCGTCCGCGAGAGCGCCGACTCCGCCGACTCGCGCCCACCGTCTCGCTCCGTCTCGCGCCGTCTCGTCTCGCCATGCTGAGCAGGCGCGACCTTGCAACCGGTGGCCGCGCCCGGCTCCACAGCGCTGCGCTGCTCGGCCGCCACGAGGCGCCTTGCCGGCAGATCCTGGCCGCGCTGTGCGGAATAGCGCGCCAGAGAATTGAGATTGGATTGTTCCTTGCTTGCACGCATGCATGGCCGAAGCATAGCCCACGGGCGGCGCATCACCGATCGCTGGGCTGCATTCTGGAAGAATAAGCAATCTGTGGAGACGCGCTCGGGTCATTTTCTCGTCCCAGTCCGCCCAGCAGAGCAAGGGTGACTTGTTGCTAAGGCGGCCGTACGCTCGCGGCCAATCAGCGCCCTCGGGCTCGCTGCCCAAGGCAACGCTAGAGCATCGACACACACCGCGCCCCAGCGTCAGAACGGCAACGCCACGGCAAGCTCACCTGCTCACTTCGCCGCAATCCCGGCCTCGACGCAACCTGCTTGCTCCGCATCGTCTACGCAATGGAGGCTGAAATCCGCGCCCAGATTCCTCACATCGACCCCGTGCTGTCCGAGTACAGCGCCGGCTATCTCCAGCATGCAGCAAACTCTTTCGAGCCGGACGCCGACCCCAGCGCGCCTTCGCCGCTGGCCGAGGCTGCGGCGACTATCACCGCCCTGCTTGTCTCAGCGTCAGGTGACTACTCTAGCCAGAACGAGGCCACTGTCCAGAACCTGGTCGACAGGTTCATCGGCAAGCTGAACAGCGGCGTCGATGGCGAGCGTCGCCAGCTGGCCCCTTCGGCCAAGAAGCTGGACCAGGCCATCCACGTAGGCTCGCAGCGCAACATCTCGTCCACCCTTGGCCTGAGCAGCGGCGCCGTCGATCTCGAGTCGGCCAATGCCCGCCGCGTCGAGTCCAAGGTCGACCGCAAGAAGCTCGAGAAGGCCGAGCGCAAGATCCGCGCCAAGCAGGAGAAGAAGGAGATGCGCTTCGTCGAGTATGAGGCTTCCCGTCTGCTTGACCAGCCCGACGAGACCCAGTCGTACGAAGAGTTTTTCATGATGGTGAACCCGCTGCAACTGGGCTCCGACTCGGCCCAGAAGAGCAAGGACATCAAGGTCGATGGCATTGATGTGTCCATCAGCGGCACGAGAATCCTCACTGACACCAACCTGACTTTGGCCTACGGCCACCGTTATGGTCTGGTTGGTCAGAACGGCATCGGCAAATCTACGCTTCTCCGTGCCCTTAGTCGGAGAGAAGTTGCTATCCCTACGCACATCTCCATCCTCCACGTCGAGCAAGAGGTAGCATTGTCCACGACCAAGCAGCCAGAAATTGCAGACGCTGACGTCATTTCCTTCTCCGTAGATCATGGGTGATGATACTCCAGCCCTCCAGGCTGTCCTGGACGCTGACGTGTGGAGAAAGCACTTGCTGAGAGAGCAAGAGGTGAGATCGGCACTTCTGTGCAACGTCAGTCAAAAGTGCATGCTGACAGTGGACTAGAAAATCACCAAAGAGCTGACCGAGTTGGAGGAGAAGCGGTCTTCGATGGCCGATACTTCCGCCGATGCCGCCAAGCTCGACACGCAGCGTGAAGGTCTTGACGTAACGCTGAGCGACATCCACGGAAAGCTTGCGGAAATGGAGTCGGACAAAGCAGAGTCCCGTGCCGCCAGTATTCTCGCAGGTCTAGGCTTTTCACAGGAACGGCAGCAATTTGCCACAAAGACCTTCTCCGGAGGTTGGAGAATGAGGCTGGCGCTTGCGCGAGCGCTGTTCTGCGAACCTGATTTGCTGCTACTCGACGGTAAGACACTGCATTGAGTCAGGCAGACACCCCCCGGCTAATACGTCGCAGAACCTTCCAACATGTTGGACGTTCCGTCGATCACCTTCTTATCAAACTATCTGCAGACTTACCCTAGTACCGTGCTTGTGGTTTCCCACGACAGGGCATTCCTGAACGAGGTCGCCACGGACATCATCCACCAGCATTCCGAGCGTCTGGACTACTACAAGGGTGCCAACTTCGGTACGAAACCCCTCGCAATGAAATGAATTTGAAACAAGTGCTAACCTTCTGTCTAGATTCGTTCTATGCCACCAAGGAGGAGAGACGCAAGACTGCCAAGCGCGAATATGAGAAGCAGATGGCGGAGCGCGCCCATCTCCAAGGTACGGGACACGAGAGCCGCATATACTCGACAGTAGCTGACCAAGACAACCAATCGCAGCGTTCATCGACAAATTCCGTTACAATGCTGCCAAGTCGTCCGAAGCGCAGTCCAGGATCAAGAAGCTTGAGAAGATGCCTGTTCTTGAAGCGCCGGAGAGCGAGTACACTGTGCACTTCAAGTTCCCGGAGGTCGAGAAGCTTTCACCACCGATCATCCAGATGACTGGGGTCAACTTTGGGTACACGCCCGACAGGCCCCTTCTTTCGAATGTGGATCTCGACGTGCAACTGGATTCTCGTATCGGTATCGTTGGGCCAAACGGAGCCGGCAAGACGACAGCATTGAAGCTGCTGATTGGGGCGCTGCAACCTACCAAGGGCCTCATTTCGCAGAACCCGCGTCTTCGCGTTGGATTCTTCGCGCAGCACCACGTCGATGGTCTGGATCTGAACATGAGCGCTGTTGGTTTCATGGCCCAGAGATTCCCGGGTAGGACGGACGAAGAGTACCGCCGCCACCTCGGAGCGTTCGGTATCACGGGCATGACAGGCCTACAAAAAATGGAACTACTCTCCGGAGGACAGAAGTCACGTGTAGCGTTTGCCTGCCTTTCGCTGCAGAACCCCCACATCCTCGTGCTCGACGAGCCGTCCAACCATCTTGACATCGAGGCGATGGATGCGCTCTCGACGGCGCTGAGGGAATTCCAGGGCGGTATACTCATGGTCAGTCACGACGTGACGATGCTGCAGAACGTGTGTACGTCGCTGTGGGTGTGCGACCATGGCGGGATTGAGCATTTCGACGGCACCGTCAACGACTACAAGAAGCGCATCACGGCTCAGGCGAACGAGGCGGGCGTGGTACAAAAGCACTAGGACTGGGAAACGAGTGGAGCTGGTGCTTTGCCGTGTTGTAAGCGACGCGCCCTTGCTTGGTAGACGACAATGCACTGGCGGCGAGGCCGCGGGGCGTGAAACAACGGTAGCTGGTGAAGTGGTGATAAATAGAAATGGGCCCGACGGGACGCCGAACACACGTGTATTCCGTCGGCGGTTCACGGCGACGATTGGCATGGGAGGCATCGCGAGCATGTCGGCTCATTTGGCATACGATCGCGGTGCAGCCTCACCACTGGCGCACAGATGCTTGCTGTAATGACAACGGACTCGGGACACGTGCCGGCGCACCTGGCCATCTCCGAGCGCGGGTGCGGAGTCCTGCGCCGCTGCTCGCGTGGCGCGCGAATGCACGGCGGCCCTCGACGGCGCTGCCATGCGGACGGTTGTAGGCTGGACGAGCGGGGCGCGTGCGAGGCGCTGGCACGGGGCTGCGGGTTAGTAGGTTGTGCTGGTTGGCGGGCGCTGGGTGTGGGCGCTGGGGATGATGAGTGCCTGGCGCCGCTGTGATTATTCAGGCATGGACAGCGGAGCCAAGCCTGCTCCGACGTCGACGCTCTGGAAGCCGCGCCCCCGTCGACTCTCGTTGCGCATGTCCATCGCTCGCTCCGCCGAGTCGAAGCCTGCGCGTTCCTGATGCCCCGCTGTCTCTGACCGCCGTCTGACGCTCCGTGGCCGGCCAGCGCGCTTGCTCAATTGCTTCGGCGCAGGGGGATCCAGCACTGCTAATCTCTCATCTCCACATCAACACCGCTTCACCAGCTCCAGCCCCGGCGCCCACCACCCCGTCGTCACCTTGTCGCAACCACCGCGCCCGCGAAGCGGTTCGTCCGTGTCTGTCACTCCTTTGAACTCCCCACTGCACGGCGGCTGTTTGCGCGCCCCCCACAAGCACCGCGAGTCGCCCGACCATCACGACCCTAACCCGTCCCTCGCTCCCACGACGGCCGACTCACCATATCCCCCTCC